TGAAATTACAATTTTGAAGCTTTGAACAGCTGTCATTTTCAATTCAGTTGTTCCTTTAGAGCTCAAACTTATTGCATTGTATTTTACTAATAAAGACCTTTAATTTGATGTAAAATAACAGTCTGCTTACATTTCAGATTTTCTTCTGATTCTTTGCGGGACCCCCTGAGGAGGTAGCGCATCACTGAATAAAGTTTTAAAATGGTTTTCATGACCAGTAACTTTGTTCTAAAATTGGTAGCTCTATCTTTTTTTTTATTTGTAATTTTTTGGGACTTTTCTACCACACTGTTAGCTATATACGAGTCTATAGACTGTTAACTCACAAGACGGCAAATACATACATAAGATGGTGAGTGGTTATCAATTTTATAGGCCAATGAGCAATCACAATGCTGTCATCAAATAATGAGTATCTATCTATAAATTAATAGGCAAGCACGTTTCTTTAAAACCTTTTTTCTCAGCTCGTGTGCATCGCAGGGAAAATCTAGGCATACTGTTGGAAAGATATTTTCCTGCAGATGTGCAGAATCCCTTTATAAATTAAAATGAACTGTGAAAGTAAATAAATTAAATAAAAAATAATTTAATAAAGTATATAAAGTAATAAAATATTCAATTAATTTAATAAAAATAAAGTAAAATAAATTAAAGTAAACTGTAAAAATCCGTTTTTGACATATGTTGATGACAAGTTCAGCTTAACACAATTAATGTTTTAATATATGTTTCCAACTCATATACCAATCATGCACAATGAGCAAATGATTAAACATTGTTAGGGATTGTAACTATGTATTAGTACCTCATGCATGACAAATTCCTGCAAAATTATCATTGAAATATAACATGCGACAATTGATCATACCTTCAGAACTCCAAATTCCATTGATTCAAAGCAGCATGTGAATCATTTGATCAGCATCACTGAAAAAGGCATTTAATAATTTAGTACCTATTGTAATGCATAGCTTATTAAACATGCTTTGTTCTAGGCCACCTTCTTCCCTAAAAGCATTTGTTGTACATACGTTGACTTTCGTTAAAATGCCACTGGCGTAGGAAAAAAACGTGGGTTTAACAACAAAAGTGTAGAATTAGCAATACTGCATTCCCTTGTTTGAATCTTAAATAAGTAGGCCTATCTTTTAGCGAATTTCCCATAGGCCTATAGGGAATAAGCTATTACCGTAGATCTCATGGTAAGATCTGGTCCCGGGACCGATTTACTTTTTGTTTTGAGATCCCCAGAGGCCAAAAACACCATCCGTTCAAATTCATATATATATATTTACATATAAATGTGTCCGTTAGCTCGATAACTCAAACAAAAATGATCCGATTTTGATGACATTTTGTATAAACGTGTAAACCTACATTTATCCTAACCATTTCGTGAACCAGCATGATCGTACCTTGGAAACGGGGATTGATACAGTAAAAATTGTTTTTCCCCATTTTTGACCCTAAAAACATAAAATTTTAGAATATCTTTTCAAAGCATTTTGAAGAGCTTAAAAAAAGAAATAATTTAATATATTGAAACATTTTAACATTTGATGTATGCGTAATGGTTACAGAGAAATTTAAAAAAAAGTGTAAATTTAAAATTCCTATCTCTATTTTACATTTGGGTTTTAGAAGCAAACAAGAGATTCAATAGAAAGATTAGTAGATTACAAAGAACACAATTAATTGAAAGATATCATTAAAAAGCTATACAATAAAAACAAATAGTAACAACAATTGATAAAGATTATATAAATTAATAACAAGGATAAAAAAAAACGATAACAGTGATAAATATATGATTACGAATAATCAATAACAAAAAAAAGAGAAAATATATACCTACATGTAAATAAACCCAGCTTAGAACAAATAAACCTTAGAAAAAAATAAACACTTAAATTGACGGAATTTATAATGCTTGGCACTTACTCTCACTGATTGTGTGGCCCTTTAAGCAGGAAACCTACTAGTCCGAAACGACACCTTCCAACAAGTCTTCCGACACCTTCTGATGCTTTCCTTAGTTTTTAAGGCAACAGCCCATTTGCCCGACGGGCTCCGTCAGTAGCTCAGTAACTATAAGCAAATTTGGTTAGTTAGGTTGTGTTATGACAGTTTAATTTTATAACTTAATGAATGCTCTCATTTTGTCCGTATCACAATAAGCCTCTAACCACAGAGCATAAGAATAAATATTGAGGCGGCACTTGCCGTCTGGAGTGAAGCTGGCTTCTCGTACCAAGATGGCGGCCTGCATTTACATTTAAACCATTATATTGTTACCTTGGAAACCACAAATCAATATTTACTTTTAAAACTCTCACCCTAGAACTTTGAAAGCCCGCGGGGCAGAGTCCTTGGTCAATATCGAAGGGGATTAGTTCTATAGGTATCCTCGGAGCGGTAGCTTCATCTAATTCATAAAGTAGCATAGAATAACACAGTGATAATGACACCATGTTTTCAAAGTTCAGAGCCCAACTCTCTTACCAAGATGGCGGAAATCGGCTTCACTACTGGTATGGCTGTAGGTATATGAGTGGCGACTCTATATTTAATCTATGCTCTGTGCCTCTGAGAGGATCTGTGACAAACACAACCACGACAAACAATCGCATTGATAGCAGATGATGTTGTTATTCTATTGAGTAGGCCTAATGAATGATTAACGATATTCGCGAAATCTCATGCCAATAGTGTCTATGATCATTGAGCTTGAAATATCTGACTCCTGGCTATCGAAACAGCAGATATATCTTCGACAATAATAAAGCTACAACAATTATCTTATGTCAATCCATTCTGCACACTAATAATAATAAGGCGTAACTTAGGCCTATGATAACTTAAGCGTAAAAAATTAGCAAAGTTACTAGGGTTTAAAACTTGAGTGGGATCCTAGATAAATACCCTAGCAAAATATTCATCATCCTCACTCAATAATTGTATTTAACTTGGTGTACTACTACTACGGTATTCAATCCTTTTATCTATCAATCACTTTGGGATTAGAAGCCCCTAAGCTTAGTGTACTATTCGTAAGATGAACTCACCTTTTAATTTAAAAAAGAGTTATCTTCTTCTAAACGCTTCAACCAAGTAACTTACTTAGGTTTAAAGTTATAGTTAGGCACCAAGACAAGCAATAGCAATCAGCTATAACCAAGAGCCCAGTTGTGTAAACATAAACATAAATGTAAACATAAACAAAAACAATGAACAAAAAACATGGCAGCCAAGACAAGCGTAGAGATAGTGTAGGTAGAGTCGACTAGCGCTTCTAGCGGCGAACGCTGTTACTACAAGATATGACGTCACCACACCGTTACTAAAAGCTATGACGTCACCACAACGTTAGCCTGAGTCCCTTCCGTGTGTCCCGCCGGGTAACTACATCATAAAAATGTGTAAATTTATAAGTGTGTAGATGTAAGTCTTTTATTTACTTACGGACACTAAAAGCAACGTAAAACGTAATGTTGAGAATAAGCTGAATAAAAGTTTAGTCAATAAATTTCTTACAATAACTTGCCTTTGATTTTTTTTTTTTTTTAATTAACCTGATAAGTTTAAGTCTCTTAGAGACAACCTAGTTATTCTAGGGTAAACATGCCATAATTTAGGAGCCTAACTTTTTGAATGTAAAAATTGTTTTTACCTACACAAACAAATTGGTTATAATTTTGAAGTAGGTACCGGTAAGTATTTGTATAAAACTCTTAGAAAAACAAATATTAGTCTGCTCCCTATAGCCTATTACCACTGGTCCAATTTACTTGAATACTTGTAGTCCAGAGGCAGGAATTGTATAGGTCATCTTAGGGTAAACAATAATAATTTAACCTTAAGTAATCGAGGAGGTCCAGTCTACGTTGAACATTTATTTAACTTTATGTAAAGTAAAACTCAATTACAATAAATTAATTAGGTTTGTGGACATTTCTGATATGTTAACTAATGAGGAATATTGTTTAGACTAACTGATGGTGACACAAAAACCAAAGCAAAATATTATTGGATGTTTTATTAAAACTACAGTTAAGTTAACTTAACGTTAGATTACAAACTTAAATTCCTAAATTGTTTTTGCAGACAATTAAATCAAGTAAAATATTTAGGTGCCACTCTCAGTTAGTTTTATATTTTATAGTCAAAATCAATCGTCCTTTGAATGAAAAATATACACCCTATATTAAATTTTATTACCGTACCTACTTAACTTAACAACGTGTAAAATGTATAACATTGTTGTAGATTTATTTTCCATCATGACCAAGTTTGTAAGAATAGGCTAAATTATTCTAATAATCTTGGATTAATTTCACCTTCTTTAATTAATTATGAACTATTAGACAGCAAAGAGTTTAATAGTACCCTTACTAACTTAATTACTTCTGTAATTTTACTGTGTACTTTTTTCTATCAATGTATTGATGTAAAGCGATTTATTGTATGAAATACAATGCATTATTTCAAATTTACCTTCACTAGTCTTGATACAGAAATCTTTTGTAATTTTGATTTTTTGGTTGGGGAAAAGGTAGAACAAGTGTATTCATAAATCAAAAAGATATAGGTACCTACTGTAGTATAAAAATATGCGTTTAAGTTGTTGAAGTTGATTTAAAAATAATTGTCTTACACTGTTTAAATCAATATTAGGGTAAATGTTGAATTCCACACTTTTAACGAATACTATAATTTTAAAAATATACTGTCCATTCAAACGTAAATCTCAATCTGCAATATTTTCTTTCTTAATTTAAAAAATAATTTCTATACACAAACAAATATATTGAAACTGAAAGTATTTCCCATCAGGTTTTAATGGGATATAAATAAACACCCTAGAATAGAATTATTGAAATAGGAGAAAATGGTTGAAAGTGGGTTGTTTCGGTGGGGGTGGGGGGTAATGTGGGTGGTGAGAAAATGTTGGGGAGGGGGGTGGAAATCAATACCCCTAGACTGAGAGGTGCCAGGCCTATAATCAATAACAGCCCCCGGCCGGTCTCATATTAAATGCATGCATACAACTCGTACTTTGCGTAATTCCGTACAAACCGTGCTCCAAATACTGACTCACCAAGTTGTACATAGTCTGAAGCATTTTGTGTCGATGTAGATTCGCTTGTGAGCGTTAGCAAACTCGGAATCGTTGAAATGGCCTCTAAGGTGCTTGTAAAGATGCCGGCGGTATCTTTTAACCAGGTGAGTTTAGTGGATAAAGTTCGATCTCTCACTTGGCTTTGCAAGTGGGACTTGAAAACTAGGATGGTAAAATGTGTTTAATTTTCTACATAGCTAACGAGTGTAATGGTGGTTGCATAATACACTACAGTCTGCTTATGAATTGTGAGGACTTGCAACAAGTATTGCACAATTTTTTTTTGTCACATTATTATGTCGTACAGTTTTTGAGTTTAGTTTTTTGTAGTGTTTTAAAATCTCTAAAGTAGAATTGAGATCGTCATAAATAACTTTTGTTTTTTGTATAAATAATTTGTATGTAGTACATGATGATACTTAAATTTATTTATGACGTATAATTAATTAACAAATATTTAATGACTATAATGGTTTACAACTAAGAAAATGAATATGTGTCTGGCCTTGAAGAAATAATATAAAAAATATTTGTATTCTAGCTTATCATTGTTGAAAAAGATTGTTACATTAAACCCTCATTTTGATTTGAACTTCTTTAATACAGACTTTGCTTAATTTGGGTAACCTTCGACAAAGTTTGTAAAAATGTCATACAAATAGTACGAACATGCCTCTTTAATTTACAGTTTTTCTATCCAGTTTATAATACTTTAGTTTACTGTAAAAAAAAATCAAGATCATGCTACACAATTCACAATTTCTTCCTAATTTTTTCTTCATTTTTTTGTAAAAGGTGTATCCTTCAATGATTCAAGAAACCTTGGAATACAACTGCCCTTAATTTTATTAATTACAAACAATCCAGTCTAATATAACTCTGATAAGATTCCCAATACCTATATCCAAATTAATACGTAGGTACAGTACTTAATTTTTCTGCAAAATATTATGCCTAAATTTAGTGTAATTACCGTAATTAAAAAGCTTATACAAAAATTATGTAAAACCTTGAAAGCTCTAATTTAATATTATGGACTTGAGTGAGTTTTTGGGTGGTATAATTTTGCAGTTTTCATTTATGGCGACATCCTATTAAAATATTAAAATTTGTAATTTTGCTTCTACTTATAAAATTACTAAAACTAAAGTTACCTACCTTTCAAGTATTCAGAGTAACATCATTTGAATTTTTAAAATAAGTTGGAATTATAGGTATTGTTTTACTCCATGCCGTACTGAGTGGGATGTTATGGTTAGATTTATGAAACTAGAATCTAGGGGTGGATTAGTTGTTGTAACATATTGATCCCTTACATGCAAAACCAATATTGATAATTCAGTTAACTGCAGGTCCTGATAAGTTAACACTTCCACCTTTGTCACCTTTTTGTCATGTGCACAATCGCAACATACAATATACAATACATTGTATGGATTCAAATGTATTTGTTCTCAATATAAGAGCATATGTTCTCGTCAAGTTTCTTCTTACTGTTAAATTGAATTCAAAATAAACATTCATATACCAACATAAACATGTACATTGAATGGGTCCATTAAAACTAGACTTCTTCTCAATCATACAATATGTTTTATTATTTGAATGTGTTTATTTCTTAGCTAGGAAAGGTTGTTCTAGTTTGGCTACGTTAATTGACTTGTGATCCATTAATGTTTTTTTTTTTTTTTTTTGTAAAGAGGACTTAATACCATAACTCATTATTTTGCTTGTGCATTTTTTGACTTAGTGACAATTTAACTAGGCAGCTGAGAGGTTAAGAACTCACCTGCTATCTGAAGATCGCTGGTTCGATTCACAAAACTTGAGCACAATTTCGTGGTTAAAATTGGACCCAGCTGTTCTTGATAATTTGTATACATCCAGCTGATTTTAATCAATAAAACTATGATCTCATTCATTCAATAGTTGCCTTACACTGTACACACCCAGTTGTGTCGTCATAGTAGATCTAATCTAATCTATTATGGTACTATGCCTATCTGGTCCTAGTAATCAACCTGCTAAGCACATTATGGTGTGTTTCCAGATGATTTGCTTTTTTGTAGATTTTGGTTGAAAACGCAACTTGAAGTTGCGTTATATGCTTCTGTCAAAGCCATTATTGTGGGGGTGGGGGACTAGCCCCATATGATAGCTTAGTTATATTTTTGTTTCTTTATCTAGGTGACTTTGTTTTTATTGTCAGTTATCAATCAATTCTCCGACTCACAAATCACCTATCCATCACAGTTAATTTAGTAGACAATACACAAATTCTTTATTGAAATTGAAATATTCCTAGGGAAAATTGTGTCAGATACAACTACAATAGTTTTTTTACTGTAGCTCAGAGTTCACAAACTCATCTTCTGAGTAGAACGGCGGTTGGATAAGACATGTTGTCAGGTGCTTCTTAAACAGACTTGGTTGTTCTCAAGGAGCTCTGGTAGGTTGTTGTAATAGCGAGCACCTTTGTAGGATGGTGTCTGCTCCAACAGACTCATGTGGTGTTGTGGAAGGGAAAATTTCGCAGACTGAGACCCGTGCCCTATCACTAGACCAGCTCATCACTCCAAGAGTCACAATACTAGACGCTTGTGGTATCGAATTAATCCAACGGTAGTCAATTGTTGTGGCGACTGTACAACATAGCAAAAGGGTAGATAGTGGGAGAGGCATGCGAAAACATAGTTCAAGCATATTTGAAAAAGCATAGTTCAAGTGTGCATGGGAATTCTGCTTGCCATCCATACCAATGCCGTGGATTGTCCACAGGTCAGTAAGAAGTGTAACGGCTCTGGTGGAGGCGAGGTAGTGGTGGGGAGAGGCGAGGGGCTGCTTCTACCCTCCATGTCCAATGACCCGCTTCTCCACATTACCCAGCTGGAGCAGAACATCCGCTGGTTACACGAACAACACCAAATCATGCTGTCGTCGCTGCATCAGGAGGTGGAAGTGTTGCGGCAGCGGAACCGGGGTTAGTTACGTCACAAATAAACAAACAATTCATCAAGATGTGATTCTAATTTTGTATGTAGAAACTCAATAACAACACCCTCAATAACAAGTCAGATTTAATAACAAGTAGTCTTTGATAAGCGTCATAATTTCAAGTTCCCTTCAATTTACCCCTAATCACATGTTATTGCAAACTTCGATAAGAAGTTAACCTTGATAACAAGTCTTATTTAATAATCCCCACGAGAGTTTTGTTATAGAGGTCCTACTGCAGACACTTTTTTTCAAAGAAAATAATATTTATGTATTGCGTATTTATGTTTACATATATTTATTTAAACACATATTATATTATGTGTTGCATGAAAGTTATAGTTAAAACATACAAGGATTGATTTTAAATTAGGTTACCATTGAGATCATGTCGCAAGTTAGCAAAAATTCAAAAACAGCCCCATCTTCTTTACTTCATTTAATAACCATCTAGCCCGTTTCCATTCTGATGTGACTATTTGTCTTATAGTAACTGAAAATTTTGTTAAGGAAGATAAATCACAGGACAAAACTCCTGCCGAGTATGAATTACGTCCTGCAATTGGTTATCTGTAGGAGATTGGTTAATCCTTATGATATATGTTGCCAGTTCAAGGATGTGTATTCAGAAAAGTATTTAGACGTAAAAATGAGCATAAGTAGCTCAGAAGGAGCATAAGTAGTTTGCAGGAGGCACATTTACCTACGATGTGTCAGTTGTTGAAACATGTTGATTAGTAGGTTGACAAAATAATAATAATAACTGCTGGAAATAGGTTGAACTTCTCTATTATCTTTGGTCCTCCATATGTTGAGGGGGTTGTACAAGTTTTGATATTGTATTACAGATTTAACTTGTGATTGTGTTTCACAGATTTGCAGTTTCAGCTGGTGTTCAGCAAGGGCGGCATTTCCATTTCACACTCGGGCAGCGATTCCTCCCCTGACGATAAAAACAAAATTGTGAGTCATTCATTTTTCCATCTTCCCCTCGCTTCAATGCATTACATATTTAAATGTTTGCCAATTTTGTCCATGATGCAGTGAGTCTATTGTATTATTATCATATTAATCAGCAGATGAAGAGTCATCTTCTTAGTGTCGCTGACTTTACGTCCAGGAGGTGATGTTTTTTTAAGATCTTACCATTCAGATTTGTTTACTATCCAGGTGGGGTCCGGAACAAATTGATCGGGATAGTTGTAGTTCCACTAATTGATAATAAAAAAAGACAATCTTCGTTATTTCTACTGAAATTTATCTGCTAAGTGTCTATTCAAAAACTATATTCTTTCACCTTCTTAACTTTGAAATAAGTTTACTAGTAAGTAGGGTATAATTGAAATTTTGTTTATATAGTTTCAATAAATATTTTACAAGAGTGTTTGTTAATCTCATTACTCAGTACGGTAATCAGACAGTTTGTCTGTTTAATCCTGAGTAAAGTCAAAATCATTTTAAATAGTTCAAAATTTCACCCAGCTGTTCTTGATCATTTGGCTTTCAATCCTGGCTGAGTAACCAGCTGATCCCAGTCAGTAACAAAGCCGTTATCTCATTTATTCAATACCTATTGTTTAGTCCTCTTTGCCTTAAAATAAGCACCTTGGTGTATTGGCGTTGTAAACATTTTTAATCTCCCTTGATTCAATTATTGGCTCAACTAAATATCGCATAGTTTTAACCTCGTATTTCCGCAGATCCTGAGCCCCAAGGACTGCAATACCAGGACGTTGCAAGTGGAGATGTTGGAAAAAGAAGTGACGGAGTTGAAAGCCGCTTTGGCGGAAACAACGGCCACTAATGTCTCACTGAACAATGTCATTGAACAACAGAAAAAGTAAGATAATATTTTAACAGCACCTTTATATTTCTTATGTAATATAATGAGTAAAGAACTTTAAGAATAATTAATACTACTTATTACAGATGGCTTTTTGGAGAATTTCACTATTTTTCTCGCCCTCACGGGATTGAGACCTTTAATTTGAGCCATCTCCCGTTCTTCTACGACTTCCAAGTCGCTCACAATTTTGACGCAAAGAATCGGCTTACGTAATTAATATACTACTTATTACAGAAGGCTTTTAGTAGATCTCTTAAGTGGTATTTGAAAATCTTCCAATTACTGTAAAATTTAAATTCAAAAATGTTATAAAACATTTGCGTGCACCGATTTAGTTCAATTGTGAGGCAAAGCCTAGGTTACGAATGATTGGGGCAAGTGGTAGAAAATAAGTTTCGGTACAAGTTATGAACAATTCTTTTGATTACGATGCAAAAATACAGAATAACATACCTGAGTCAAATTTTAACTATTATTTCTCAATTAACATTGTTATAAATATAAAAGTAAAAGCAAATGTAATTGATTATAGTACACCTACAGAATAATGTAAAAATTAGAAGTTCAAGGTTACGTATGTGCAATAAAAACACACTGTACTAAAAACTTACAAAAATCTAGCTTTATGCCTATTTCTGTTTACATTAGATTGTTAAACAATAAAAACAGCTGATTAAAATCATAAAAGTATATTGTAAATGAAGAAACATTAACACGTAGGTGGCAATGTAGAACTGATTGAGAGCAAGGGAAAGTAAATGTAGTGCAAAGGAAAAATCAGTTGACCGTTTCTTCATTGCACGATGTTAGAGCTTGGGAAACAACGGTTTTCTTTGATCAGCTGTTTTCTAAAATAGCTACTTTCTGTACAGAGTGATGAAAGATGTCCAAAATCTTAGGATAAAAGAATATTACATTTTGTAGTAGTAAATTCAATGAACGATGAGAATATGAACACTGCAATATTTCAGACAGCTGATGGCAAAAGAATCACGGCTGGTAGAAGCAGATTACGAAGCAAAGTTAGACGACGCAGAGAGACTCATACGAAGATTGCGACGAGACAACGAGGAACAGAGAAAGGAGGTCGGTAACAAAAAATGGTCTTATAAAAAGATTGTAACACTTGTCAGCGACTTACATTTATTTCTACACAAGTGCCACAATATTGCATTAAAACACTCCATTGGATCATTTTCATGAAGTCTTTAGTATTAGTTGATGGTCCGAGCTAATTAAGACCTAGAATAATACAGTTTCTTTTTTATATTTTAGTTAGAGTTAGGCTATTGCATGATTCGTCCTTTTTTCTTTTTTGACAGAAAAAGATTTACAATCTAAAACTAAATGATAATTTATATTATCTTTAAAATTCCTGGTGTGTAAACAATAGTTTTATGTTGTTATTTCCACAGATTTTGGTAGCAAATTTATTGATTGTATTTGGCTTAAAGTTATTTGAATTTTAGTCCTGCGTTTGCAATACAAAAGTCAAAAACCTAAAAAAAATTAAAAAGAAAAAAATTTAGGTCAAATAATTTAATTACAACAACAAATTAGTTTAATTTTTTCAAATGATATATGATTTAACTTTTTAATGTACAACAAAGAAAAGATTTATTTAATCATTCTAAGCTGTATAAGGGAAAAAATACATATTTAGACACAAGCGCACTCTTTGAATAGTTCATTCACCTTCTGTATGTTCTTTTTTAATAAAAATATTTTACAGCTAGGTAGTCAGTTTAATGGAACGTCAACTTCAATATACAAATGTCAACAACTAAGAGTTACCAGAACAAAAGATTTCTGTAATGTTTCAGATATCGGCTTTGCGAGCAGCCGTCAACAAGAGCGGTGGAAGTGGCCATGGTCAGGGAGGCAGCAGTAATGGCGGGGGGCGCAGCGGCAGAAGGGGGGGTCATGAGCAGCACAGGTTCCCTCCCCTCCACTCACAAAGCTACTGGCACCACTCCCAACAGAGGTCCAAGACCAGGTATAAAGTGTACTTACACACTTTCCGTTTCATTTAGTCTCAAGCCTGGTTGTAAGTTTTTCTAGATTAGATCTTTACCACACCACCTCTTTACGCTGTTTTTAACCTCATCTCTGATACTGACCAATAGTTATCTGTTTCAGTCCTGACTATTCAACACAACCCTCAAGTGGTGGAAGTGGCCGGAGGGGTGGGGGAGGGGAAGGTCCCTCACTCCCCCACCTCAGTCGCAACTACAGCCAACCCTCAGGTAGCAACGGTAATCGGTCACGTTACTACAGCAACGGCAACCATTACTACAAGTACCACGGGGGCCGCGGCAATCGGGACCCTAGCCAGTAGCGACCTCTTATAACAAGTCTTTAGCTCTCTTTAAATTAAATTATACGCCGGTGTTTTGAAGACGCTTTTCGTCTATTAGAATTTCACCTAAACGAATGTTAATCGATGTACGTTAATCCCGAATTCAGTTCAAAGTTTATTGTAATATATTTTTTATAAGGGAATGCTTTTGCTCGCTTTTCGCTTCGGGAGACAAATTCATCGGGGTTATAATTAATGGCTGTGAATAATCTGAGGCAAAATCGGAAGTTGTTGTTTTGTTTAGATTGTTGCAACTCTTTGTAAACAATTTTTTTAAGTTTACCCAAATTTAAGAGTTAAAACGTTTTTGAAATCAAACTGAAATCATTACCCTTAAAAAGAACCATTTAAGGAACAGGGAACGGTAGTGTTCGTAATGTTAGTGTTTTATAAATAGCGTATTAATTGGCTTTTATTGTATCCGAAGGCAGTAGATTTTAGTACGTATAGAGGATTATTTTTATCCAGTACTCAAAGATGTTTATAGTTTATATTTATCACCAGCATTAAAAGTGCCAAGTATTTTTATCTAAGCTTTTATTAGATTCGGAACCAATATTCAGGAAATAAACCTCGGGAAAAATGTTTAAATAATGGACGATACAGTAATAACATTTTAGACTCTTAAACAACTTCTTTTATTTTGAATTCATCACTTTTCAAATTCAGATGTTTAATGTTGTAGTATAAAGTACACCAACTGGATATTTTAGCAAGACTGATATTAATAATTTAGTCTTCATTTAAGATTGAGATTTAAGGTATTCACTATGCACAATTATATAATTCATAACCGATTGATATTGTTATATTCAATTAGACTATGTAACTCATTATCTTTCGATTTACGATTGAATAGTTTATTTCATATGGTGCGCTGATTTATAGTCAGTTTGAATTGGTTTAGACATTGTTTATAAAAAGTATATAATAAATTACATGCCAATATTGAATGTGGAATTAATTTAATACCTCTATATAAAAATTTCTTTTCTATTTAGGCAAACTTATCTCAAGGTCCTTTCTTACCGTTAACCTGTAAAAAACTAGCAATAATAACATACCCTACCTTACCTTACCACTATTGGCCACTCAAACCTAGGTTTTTGGCCTCGCCAAAAGCTTTTTGTCATCTTCTTCGATCTTCTTCCGTAACATTAATTCTCCTCATGTCTTTTCGGACTTGGTCCCACCACCGCAATCTCGCCCAGTGATTGCCTGCCTGCAGGAACTGCGTTTCAAGTTCCAAATTGTAAGTCTGTTGGAGCTTGGGTCTAAATCCGTTACTTCCATTCGGGTCCGAGGCAAAATGTTGGAGTTTCTGAACAAGTGAATTTTACCTGCGTAAGGTTGTCAACTTAACCCCCAACCTGAAGGACCAGGGTATCCTTTTTAGTCTTGCTCCAACCTCACAAAGACCAGTCCGGCAAGGGAGGCCCTACCAGTAGCTACCCTACCGCCGGTATAGCTCTCAAAGTTATCAGAGCAAGCAAGCCCCACCGCTCCAACGCAGGGAACATAAACAAAATAAAACAATGAAGTTTGTGGACAACAAATAAATACTGGTGGGTCATAACATGAATTTTGTTTCACTTCCCTAACATCCAGTCAAACACAAAAATAAATTCTCTGCTCCTCCTAGGCCTAATGCACACCATCCGGTTAATTTAATAGTGTCCTTCATTGCATTTTAATTATGACTCATGATGTTTTTTGCCATAGGATTTAGCATTTAAGGCCAAAATATTTACCAAGGCCTTGACAATTTACTCTGCGATTCTGTTTTAGAGTATGAATTTGCATTGTTTGATATAGACCTTTAAAAATGTAAATGCAATCGTTAGATTTGTCTGTTTTAAATTTCGGACAAGCCAAATAAATTGTTATAAAAGAAACCATTTGGTGAAATGTATTTAGGTCAATTTTCCTTCAAAGTCATGACATAAAACAGAAAGCCTCCTTTTACAGAGCAAAATTAAAGACGCTTAAGAAATTCTAAGACTTTCTACTATATACTTAGCTATCCACAACCTAGAGGTTAGCGAAACGGACTTCAGTATGGGTTTGATTGGCAGCATATCTGCAAACAATCGATGAGTCGGTGGCTCAGTCAGTAGCGCAATGGACTTCGGGCCTGAGGCAACGATGTCGTGGGTCCAGATCCTGGTACCTGCCATTACTTTTTATCAGTACAGTTCACCCTTGTACTGTACCAGCTCACCCCTTCTTTCCTGGACACGTACCACACACAGGGCCCTGTGGCCCAAGTCGACTGGTAAATGTAAGGTAAAAAAAGGTTTAAAAAAAGATAAACATTATTTGCCATTCGATGTACGTCTCAATGGGTTATATGCTGAAAACCCACTAACACAAGTAGGTAATTATCATGGTAAATAACAACACTGTATATGAGTTATGTAATAAATTTATTAGCTTTTATGTATCTTAATACAGAAGGCAAGGTAACAGTAACGATTAATCAAAACGTTTAAGTGAAGTGAGCAGATTTCTTATAAACACTAAAACACTCTACGACACATTTATGATATACACAATTTTCAGAATGTATTTACACTATATACAGGCTTTACATTGGTCATTTGTCGTTTAATATCTTATACCTAGTTATTCGGTCTTGTTAAGATGGCACAGGGGGAATTAATCAATGGACGGTAAACAAAGAACCTATAGTCAGAACTACTTAGCAGCCTACTTCATTATAGTAGATTTTAGCTAAGTCCCAAATTTACATTTGTTAAAGGTGTTAACATATTTTCTGTCATGAGAGCAAAATCAGCTTTTTTCAATATATTCATTGCGTGTCACGAGTAACTCTTTTACTGCCAAGGGAGTAAAAATTTTTATTTTTTGGTTAGTTTAGCATAAATTGTATAATTAGTGCTCTACTGTTTGGTTACAAACCCAGAAAACTATCTATTTTTTATAATTAAAGTGTTTTATTTAGTGAAACTAGTTTTTAAATAACACAAAAAAATACAAAAACACACCTCTAAATGAACCTGGCAGAACTAACATTTGTCTACAGCTAATCCATAAGGATGATATACCGGTTGTTCAAAAAGTCTGGACACCTCTTAATAATTTTTTAACCAAATTTGGGTAGAAAATTCAAACTTCACACAACTACGTATAAAAACTACTTTTTGCAAGCATCTATTTTTTTACCTCCACGGGGGGACGGCCCATGAGGAGTAAGTACAAAATTGATTCTTGAATCTTTAACGTAAGCATAGGTTGATATGCACATCATTTTAAAAGGCTTGTTAACTGAAGTTCAATGCCGGAAACCGCGTTTCAAAAGGTTCACCTATTGCAAAATGGCAGCCATTTAAAATTTCCATTGTCATTGGGGTTCAAACAAGTCTGGAAACCCTTTTATTTATTTCATTAATGAACGCAGAGCAATTTTTTTATAGCATAGCATGTAGTTGTGCAAAGTTTGAATTTTCTAACCAATTTGGTTAAATAGTTATTTGTGTAACTAGTGGTGAAAGTGGCTCTTTGCTGCACACGAGAGCAGGAATGAGTGCAGCAAAGGCCTTTTTCACTCGTGTTACACAATATATTTTTCCTACAGTCACTATAAAGCCCCAAAGCAGAACAACGAGCGACGCTGCGACATTGTCGCGGACACATTTACGGAGTCATAACGACGATCGCGCCGTGGCCGCGATTATTGGACCGACGATCGCACCGTGACCGCGAGTCATAACGACGATCGGGCTGTGACCGCGGAGTCATACCGACAGTCACGCCGTGTCCGCGGAGTCATAACGACGATCGCGCCGTGACCGCGAAGTCCTACCGACGATCGCGCTGTGACCACGAGTCATACCGACGATCACGCCGTGACCGCGAGTCATACCGACGATCGCGCCGTGACCGCGGAGTCCTACCGACGATCGCGCCGTGACCGCAGAGTCCTACCGACGATCGCGCCGTGACCGCGGAGTCATACTGACGGTCATGCCATGATGGCGAGTCATACCGACGATCACGACGTGACCGCGAGTCATACCGACGATCGCGCAGTGACCGCGAGTCATGACGACGATCGCATCGTGACCGTGGAGTCATACCGACGATAACCGCGTGACCGCGGAGTCCTACCGACGATCGCGCCGTGACCGCAGAGTCCTACCGACGATCGCGCCGTGACCGCGGAGTCATACTGACGATCATGCCGTGATGGCGGAGTCATGCTGACGATCGAGCCGTGACCGCGAGTCATACCGACGATCGCGCCGTGACCGCGAGTCATGACGACGATCGCACCGTGACCGTGGAGTCATACCGACGATAACCCCGTGACCGCGGAGTCATACCGACGATCGCGCCGTGACCGTGGAGTCATACCGACGATAACCCCGTGACCGCGGAGTCATACCGACGATAACCCCGTGACCGTGGAGTCATACCGACGATAACCCCGTGACCGCGGAGTCATACCGACGATCGCGCCGTGACCGTGGAGTCATACCGACGATAACCCCGTGACCGCGGAGTCATACCGACGATCGCGCCGTGACCGTGAGTCATGACGACGATCGCGCCGTGACCGTGAGTTCTACAGACGATCACCCCGTGACCCGCGAGTCACAAGTTTCTATAGGTACCTGTAAATTGTTACCCATTTTTTGGTTTTTATAGATCAGTGCCACAAATGGTAAAAATTGATTTCGTAAGTCTTTTTTGGTAACTGCAATACAGTACTTTTTTTTATGCACAGAAAGAAATCCTGTCCCATCCCGTCCCGAAAATCGGGAAGGAAATAAAAATCCCGTCCCGTCCCGTCCCGAACTAAAATTTCAATCCCGTCCATAGTCCTATAGTGTGTTTAGATAAAGAAACTATAGTACATTTAAAGTTTTACTTCTGAAGACCTTATTAACACTTGTTAAGGTATGTGTATATATATACGTATTTAAAAAAAAGTAAATTTAAATAACCTGATTATGCCTACCCCTTAATAGTTTTTTTAGTTTTTTGTTTTAAAAGTAGGCTATACAAGTTATTGAAATTTACTTATTTTATTTAACTATATTACTAGTAGCCCTAAAGAGTGAATATATATATATATATATACCGGTATATAAGTCATTATTTAGCTTTTTAGTTTTAGCGCTTGCGGACACATTTTGAGGTTTTCACAGGCCGTTGCAGACACGTAGGAACCATTCTGCTTTGGGGCTATAAAGCATATAAATAATTAGTCTTTCAAACACTATACAACACGTTTTTAGGTTCAGCTGGCAACACAAATGGTGCCCTAGAGAAAGTAGTACCCGCGGTCCATATCACTCCGCTATTTTTCCTCGGCAAGAAATGTGCTCCGCGTTTTGAGAATATAGTTCCGTATGTTTTTGTAATTTGAAGTGGTTTCCGCGCCTAAAAAAAAATGCTTTAAAGGTATTTTCTTGTTTATTAAGATCGTAGGAATGTTTTAAAAACGTTTAAAAGAAAAGTCCAGAAAGTTCAGAAATACCGAAACTATAAACACGAAACGACAGGTTAATCTTAGTTATAATAGTCAATCAGCTGCTCATAGTATTATTATCTTTAAGTGTTGCCAACCTATTTCCAAGCGTACACGGATTACGTGCATAATAGAACCACGCTGTTTTGTGTTGTTTCGTTGGAATCCTGATGTGCGGCAAAGTATAAACCGTACGACAAAGTATAAACCGTACGGCAAAGTATAAATATGCAGCAATTAGCAGCTTTCTGTACTATATACAGTACAAGGAAGCCAACTTTGTCGGCTGACTGTAGGAAAAAGATTTTAAGAGGTGTCCAGACTTTTTGAAACCCGGTATCTTAAAAGGGAGTATGTTTATTCTATTTCCTATGAAAGATGGCCAATTTCACTGAAAAGAATTACATTTCTGTAAACGTCATTTAAACAAGCAATAACTTAGAGGGAGTAAAAATTTGAGCTTGTTAGTGAGCAAAATACAACTCCGGTTGTTGACCAGTTCCTCTGGCATCAAGGAGGAAAGCACTAAACCAACTTGTTGCATTTGCTCAAGAAACTTTTAGTTTACACTTTTGATAGTTTTCGCCAACGTAGACAATATTAGTCTTATTTTACTTGTAAGCTAGTTTGTATTAGCGCTGACAAACAAACTGCCTACTGGAAGAGATGTTTTAAAAAATAAATTTAAACAGCCAATGTATCAAACATAAAATTAGTTGATAGGTTTAGGTTTACATTTTTATATTTTTTTTAACAGAGATATAGAATACAACGAGTTATATATAATTGAAAAAATAAGTGAAATCACAAAACAAAATCAACATCTAATAATACTTCCTAAACAAAACATAGCAAAACAGATTTAAAATGTATGGAGCTTTTACATACCTATAAAAATAAGATTAAATGTTAATAAAATAAAATAATGGTAAACCCAACAAAAGAGTTCTAACAGATAAATTGAGGTTATACAATTTCTCTAATTTATAACTTTGCTAAAACTAATACTGTAAGCTACTTTAACTTGGAGCCTAATTTGCAATAACCTATCTTCACATTTAGACTTGAAATTTAATTTTACTTGGTAAAATATTATGCTGTAGGTTTATCATCAATATCTAATGTTCCACAATACGTTAATGTTTCATACCAAATTTTGACAGTACAGAAGCAATTGATCAGAGCCTATGTTAAAAATAAACAACGATGATTCAGCAAAATAACACTTTAAAAATTTAAAAAACCTCACTATTAATGGTTAAATGTTCTTGACGGTTTTGTTTTACAATAACAAAAATTGCAATCTGCCAATTAAAGTAAATAGGCTAATTATATAAACAATAGGCCTACACATAAGAAAAAGGATGTAATTGGAAATCATACATGAGTACAACACTAGGGGTGAAGGCAAGCTCAGCATGAAACCTCATAGACTGGCTAAAACGGGTGACTCTTTCAAAATTAACTCAATTCGCTTTTTTAATAAACTACCTGACAGTGCAAAATTTGTTGATTACAATATTTTCAAAAATAGAATTTATAATTGGCTAATTCAAAATCCTTTCTACAGCATAAGTGACTTTATCAAGTGTAATTTTGATGTAAATTTTAATTAAAATAAGCTATTATACCTGATTAATTGTACTTTTTATAATATTTGGATGTATCAGAAGCTTGATTGTATTTAGATGATTATTTTGTAATGTACCGGTATATGACGTGTCCTATTTCTTTGTAAAAAGATCAATGGAATAAATGATTCTTATTCTTATTCTTATTCTAAATTAGGGTTCTTGAAAAAAGACTCACAATGCAGGAATGCATTATGAAATTCATTCCTTAAAAAATTTAAAAAAGAAAAACCCAATATTTTTTTTAAATGTCTAACGGAATATTTAAGGAACCTGTCTTTATACTCTTTAGATGAGTTTGTAATACAGGGTGTTTTTAAAAGAATGCTGGGATTTTAAATGGTAATTGCTTGGATACTATTCAAGGTAACTAAACGTTTTATACGTCAAATTGAAGCTAAAATAACTAAGTTTTGTTTCCCGTGCAGTAAGGGAGGAAGCTTTGACCTTAATATGCGTAAAACAGTTTCGGCGTGATAGGCCGCTATTGTGACTCATATGCCTGACGCCAGTCGTCAGTACGACGTTTACGTCGCAACATAAGGCACAGATTGTAATCTGTAGTTCGTAGAGGTTATATCCATTGCAAAATAAAACTAAATTTAAATCTACTTGATGATAAAGAAACTTGAAGCTGGTTTAATGAGTTTCGTGGCACCGAGGTGTTTTGAAAAGACATTCACCCGGCCGTCTAAAAACAAACGATAACATAGTCAAAGGAATCCGACATTTCTGCATCATAAGCCCGATAAAATCGATTTTCCGACGAAGTCTTCAGTTTAAAAAGCCTAAATTGGTCACTTTATTTTGTTATCTATAAAATATAGAGTCTTTGTGCCGAAGAAGATTCAGTTAAGACATCAGATCAACATGCCGATTGCCCTAAGTGTACAGACTTTGCCAGGTTTACACTCTTATAAGATTGATGAAAATCTGAATGTTATTAAATCATTCCAAATTGTATGAAAGAATGAGAAAAAAACTTTATTTTTTTCCCTTCAATTTGACGTTTAAATTGTTTAATTATCTTGAATAGTCCCTGAGCAACGACCGTTTGAGATCCCGGCATTCTTTTAAAAACACCCTGTAGCCTATTACAGTTTTGTATTGGCCTACTTCAAACTAATTACAATGAATACAGCCTTGATTAATGATATTTTACATTACAGAAACAATTGCACTTCATGAGTCAAAAACGCTATTGCCTACTCTTTACACGAAAATCAACTTTAACATGGTACTTTTAACACATTACAATACATTGTTTACAAGGATTCTGGACCAATTTGTTCGTGTTATTTTAGTAGTAAACGCAAACCAAATCTTAAGCTTATTATAGTCATATATACAATACCAATTACAGTACGGTTCCATTTTAGATCTTGAGGTTTTTATTATTCTGTGTACATCTTATTAACACGAGGATTCTGCTTATGTTTCGGAGCTGCAACAAAAAAAGGAACAAATGTAGTTAAAATTATAAAATTAAGGTTAACAATCACGTCAAGAAATGTACTTTAAGTCTAGCTGTAACTTTATGCACCTTCAAGCCTTATTACAGTAGACTCCCTCTTATCCGGATACCTTTTAACCGGACATCGGTTTAACCGGACTACACTCGGCAGAAATGACATCTCTTTAACCGGACTACACTCAGCAGAAATGACATCTCTTTAACCGATTTTCATCAGCACATTGGTTTAACCGGAGTAGATCGGCAGGAAGTCGGCGGGATTGAAACGACCGTTCTCGTGGGAAAGATTTGAGGCCAGTAATCACGTGTCTAAATACAATGCTCTCTTAAATTTAAGACAAATTCTGTATAGGCCTACAGTATGCCATTAAACAGTCTGTTTTAACGAGTTTTTGGGGACGTCAGTTGAACCGGAAAAACAGTTTACTAACTTACTTCACCTTTTTTTGGCTAGGCTAATCAAGGTTTTTTTTTGTCCTAGGACGCTAGGCACGAGCCCGGAATTGTTTTTCACACTAGGCCTACTTCAGGCTAGACCTAGGGGTTACGGAATTATCACTTAGATAAAATCCATAGGTGATTTGGCGGGATTTGAACCTGGGACCCCTCAGGATCCGGAGTCCTGCTCTCTAACCACTAGACCAGCTCGCTCCCTAAGGTTAATCAAGATGTTACTGATGTACTTTATAAGGGGCAACTGTAGAACTAGGCTAACTTAAGTTAGTGGCCTAAAGATCCAGAATATTCAGAAAGCTTTATTTTTAGATAAAACCAATTAAATAGACCTTCCAGAAGGCATATATAACCCTGTGCCCACCAATTTATAATACTTCAGTGTTGTTACTTCCGGTACGGTAGCCTTAGATCACAGGTCACAATGAAAACAGCATAACTTACCTGAATTAACCACTTGTTGCTGGTTTGTAGACTCGGGTGATATCATTTAACAACTGAAGATACCCATCCTGAGCTTCATTCAGTATCCTTCTATACATGAATTCCCCGATGAATCCGTCAAACAAAGCTTTACTCCTTCTGGCTGCAGGGAATTGCCGTTTGATCATGGTCCATATGCCTTCAGTTGTGTTGCCCACACCTCCATTTTCCATGTCCCTGAAAGTGATGTCATGATGCACAGAAATGTGTTGGTGTACATCCTGCTCAATGGTACCGTCCTTCCAAATGTCACTGTAAATAATCGAACCTGGCAGGACGTACTGTTTCAGTATCTTCACGATGGTTTTGGGAGATCTGTCACTTACAGTCACTAAGAAACAACTAGTCGTGTCTTTTTCCAGTCCACAAAAAATCCATTGGTTTACAACCCTGTTATCTTCCCCATGGTTTCGTTTCCAAAACTTACTTTCATACAGCTCAATCTTAATCCCATGTCCACCAATCGGAGTGCTGCGGCTTAAGAGGATATCAACACAAGCACCTTTACAGAAATTATACCAATCCAGGATTATACGAGCAGAACTAGTTTGAAGTTCATATTGCACTGTTCTGTGAGGGTATTCTCTATACCAATAGTAAGTCAATAGGAGAACATCTTGAAGAGAAAAGCTAGAATGCTCAAACCATGAACCTCTCCTGATTGAGCGTTTCACAGTATGCCTTGCTGATCCCTCCATTGTAGAACATTTCCACACAAGCCTATCACTTGTGGTTTTATCTTCAGTTAAAGCCATAGGCTTCTTACAATTAACACACTCATAATGGGAAGCAATTAACTTTTGATCTTGTAACCATTTTATAAACTCATGCCTAGGTTTATCACAGATATCAAATATCATAAAAATAATAGTTGGATGATCACCTTGGAATCTGCAATGACTCCAGAATGTCATTTTCACAACATAACTTGTACAAAAAGGATTAAAAAATAATACTTATCTTAATTGCATTATCTAGAGCTTATGGTGGAAAGCTTAAGTTAAGTTAGGTTAAAAATGAAAATACATTTCAATGCGCGACGCAAGACCTAGGGCTGCCAAACGGAAACATAGTCCTGTAAATGAAAAATCACAGAGTCAAAGGCAGCAGTGAGAATCGTTAACGACAGCATTGATTATACACTCCAACAGTCACTGATCCATATTAAATCCAGTTTGTTATTTAGTCTATTTACCACATAAATTTACGTGCATTTATTGTTTATTCACTTAATCGTATGGGAAAACAAACAAAATGTATATTACCATGGACTAGCTAAGACAAGTATACTTATCTTATTGTAAAATCAGAAGCTTGCTTTAATGTTGTTTGGTTCTTGTTGGTGGAATTAAACGCTTATAAAAGTCAAACTAAAAAAAAATCAAATCAAATCAAAATCTGCTTTATTTCCAAAAAATTTTTACAATATATACATATACAAAATACGAACAATAGTCCCGCATAGGCCGTAAAAGACCTGTGCGCGGGACGAGCTCTATTACAAATTAGAAATATTCTTAAAAATTAAAACTAAATTAATCAAAATACTATTTATTTACAACTAAGCTATGAGACAGCTACAGGAACAGTTAATGCTAAATAAAATGTAGTCGAGTGAATGGAGTTGCAGTTACTGATATATGTACGCTAAATATTGTTTGGTGTACTTGTGTATCTATCTATCTATATATTAATAGGCAAGCATGTTTCTTTAAAACCTTTTTTCTCAGCTCGTGTGAATCGTAGGGAAAATCTACGCATACCGTTGGAAAGCTATTTTCCTGTAGGTGTGCAGAATCCCTTTATAAATTTAAATAGGCTCAAAGATAAGCACAAAAAATGAGTTTAAAAATTTGAAAAAATTAACATGGATCTTATGCGTTGCTATGCTGGTTACGAAATAACAACGAAATATAAACAGAAAATCAAAACAAATGGAGGAAACTCCAATCACATGTTTTATTTACAGTGTGGGGTGAAAATAGATAAGTGAGTACATTACATATTTTTGGTCGAGTTTCGACCACTGGACGACCTCTCGTCTATATATTAATAGGCAAGCATGTTTCTTTAAAACCTTTTTTCTCAGCTCCTGTGCATCGTAGGGAAAATCTACGCATACCGTTAAAAAGCTATTTTCCTGTAGGTGTGCAGAATCCCTTTATAAATTTAAATAGGCTCAAAGATAAGCGCAAAAAATGAGATTAAAAATTTGAAAAAATTTACATGGATCTTATGCGTTGCCATGCTGGTGACGAAATAACAACGAAATATAAACAGAAAATCAAAACAAATGGAAGAAACTCCAATCACATGTTTTATTTACAGTGTGGGGTGAAACATAACATAAGTGAGTACGTTACATATTTTTGGTCGAGTTTCGACCACTGGACATTACTCGTAATTATTATTAGGTGTATTGTATACTGAACCGATAAGTGTCTCAGACTGATCGAGCCCAATCTCCGACAGCCAACTGCTTACCGAACGTTTATAAACTGGAAGAGATACCTGTAGATCTCTAATATCTGATGGTATATTCCTATACAAAAAAATCGCAATATAAAAAGCATTGGTAAGGTTTGCAGACTTGAAAACTCGGGGTACCTGCATACCTACATTTACAGCTCCTCTGGTGGAATAGTTATGTGTGATTGGCGTCACTATCAAATCTTGATTAGAGCCAGATTAACTCAAAGCCAGATTAACAATAAATTGCTTTAATACTTTTTTTTATACTTTTCGTTGAATTGGCGACCATACAAAGTAGGTATTTTAAGTCAAGTATGAATGGAGATGAGTGTAGGATGAGTGGTGCGATCTTGTAGTCTTGTTAGTGACTATAAGGCCGACATATTACTTAGACACAGCTGTTAATCAATAGCCCATACAGCTAATGGCAACCAAGGGACCTACAGTTTATAGTGGAATCCGAACCACATTTTGCCTTGGTATATACGAATTGGTCTAATTATCAGGGTAGTCCTGCGGATAGACGTAATACCATAGACTAACCAACACAAGTAGACTTCTCATCCCACTGTAAATTTTGAAGCTCGTTTTTCATGTCTAGTTCATGTACGCCACACTGGGCGCTAGTGTCGACGAAATTTTGTTTCTATTATTTTAGGGTTAATTTCTTGATTTGTGCTTTACTGTTTGGTTAAATAACTAGGGGACAATTTATTGTTTATGATTAGATCGTATTATTTGGTTAAACGAGGTTTTAAATGACTGTATTAACGGGAAACAAATTGTAAACAAAACACGACCTCTACATAAACCGTACAGAACTAACAATAAAATTGTCTTCAGCTGTTCCATTAGGATGAGAAATCTACTAAGGGAGTATGTTTTATCTATGGTAATACTCACTGTTCAAGTGAGTTCTCATACTTGAAGAACTCGCAGTAGTTGAGTAGAATGGGTTCTCCAATAAAAATTTTTTTATTTTATTAGTGAACACTTTTGTGTCAAGTTCTGTTATTTTACCAGGCAGAGCACTGTACTGTACATCCTGACAGCTATTGCAGGGAAACTGTCTCTCGTCATAGTCAGTCTATAGCGATCTGTATTTAATTTACGGGCACCTCGGACATTATGGTCATGCATATGATGCATGTCACCTCTTGTTTCATGAGAGTTTTAATTTCTTTTGACGTGCATAGAAGGCAATTATAGGTGAACTGATTGAAAACAGTAAAAACATTCAGCATTTTGAAAAGATGTCTGCAATGTTCCCGTCTTTCGCTGCTTGTAATTATTCTTAGGGCTTGTTTTTGCAGTTTGAGAATCTTAGTACAGATCATCTTAATGCCCAGATAATTCATTTTGCTCAATAGTATATCATGGTTCACGAGGTCAAATGCTTTGCTAAAATCAAAGAACATCCTTGCTACTTGCTGACGTGATTTCATATCCCTTTCCTTACCACTTTGTTTATGTATGAGACCAGGCATATGGCACTGGTTGTCTATCTGTTTTTTCACAAACCCGTGCTGGTTTTCATATATTTTTTTATTTGTAAGTTGTATGATATTTGTATCATGAATGATGCGACCTATCCAGAAATAGTCAACGGTCAAGAGGATGGTAATTATAGAATGTTTTGGGACTCTAGGAAACTAATTTCTTACGAAATATAACAAAGGTTCATCAATCGTTGAAATATAACAACATACAAGAACACACTTTATACACACTTACATTGGGCTAGCTGAAAGGCTGCCAAGAAGATGAAGAAGGAGAAATTTTAATGACTCCCCGATCTGAGGACTGTGGACTGTGGGGATGGCGAAGAAAAATGAAGTTAAAATGTAAAAGGTAAAAGGTTCTCGAAAAAAAAACGTCATAAAGAACCCAAAGTTAGTAGGTAAATCCCTAGTCTACAAAATAATCAACGGTACAAGTGTTTTGACATATTTGCTCTTTTGCTGTTTAATAGATCGAGTTTCATTGGTCAAGCTAAATTCTGTCCTGCCATTATCTTTTCCTTTTGCCTTTATTTTTTTGTGTTTCTGTTGCTGTTGCTTACGGAAGGTATGTACCAAACGATGTACTATTCTTTAAAACCAGTTTAATAAGTATTCTCTTTGTTAAAACTATTATTGGGACTCTTAGTAAAATATAAAAAACATTTCTTTTTTGTATAAATTCAGTTAATATTCAACGTTGATAGTAGTTATCTTTGGAGTTCACAATAACCAACTTTCAGCCAAAGTAAAATCTTCCCAAGGACCAACTTTACAAATTAGGATAAAACTTAAAGTAGGCATACCAATAATAATTCAATTATCAGTCACTCTTAGGTATTATCTATTATTATTTATCTTCTTGTTTGTAGTTCGTGTGATATTCTCGGAGCTTTCTGCTCGCGAAGGGTAATTGTAAGTTAAGTGAGCTTCCAGCTTCCACTTCTAGGCCTAAGCCTAGACACTTACAGATTTTGATGAGCTGTAGCCTAGGCCTAGTGTCAAATTCCAATAATCCAATATAGCCTTTTGTTTGAATTTTCATAAATGAATGATGTCGTTTATATACTTAGGCCTAAGTTACTTACTTGTTCTGGGCTACCATCTGTTTTTATCATAAGTTAGTCCTGTGGAATAGACTGGGGCTGCACTTTACTTTAGGTCCTACACTCATTCGAATGAAACAATCGATTAATCAATATATCGATCGATATTTTCATTTGAATGAGTGTAGGACCTAAAGTAAAGTGCAGCCAAGACTAGTCCTATCTATTTAGGCCATTAGGCTTAGCAAATTTAGTAGTCTAGGCCCTAGTATTTTGCTTGTGTAGGATTTTGGTGCCTGCCTATTATAGCTCAATAACTTGATAACGCCTTTAACTAATTAGGCCTAAACTAGGCCTAGCCTATTCAATCAAAATAATAAATACAAATTAGCAACGAATTTACATTTATCACTGGACAATTTTTCTAAGGTCAAGGACCTGTTGCAACGAAATACCCCATTAGCCTATACAGCAAACGTGCAAACAAAGTGAATTTCTTCTTAAAGAATTTGATTTAACCCTCTGGATGTTATGTGTTGCTGTAGCGACACACAAACATTGTTTACTGTGAAGGCTCTGGGACTGACTGAATCGGTTTGTACTAGATCGATATTGGTATCATTGGTATCGTCAGATTGTATGCTTTCTCTCGATGTCTGTTTCTAGACCCTTATCGATTTCCTGCCGATCTACTTACTGTACTTAGCTGACAGACGAAGTGCGTATTTGTAAGCAAAACTTGGTTAACCTTCACATCGGTCACCGAGGGTTTGTTTTGTTAAAATTGTTGTTTTTCAGTGATATAAATGGACAGCAGTGATAAGCCTACACGTTGTGCTTGAGAATAATATTTAGGTGCTGTTGAAGGGCAGGTTGATGATCCTGGTAGTGACATTCATGTAAATTATCCTTTGGATTCCGAGCTATCGTTGCTAGACCTTTTGTCAGGGCCCGATCATTCAGGGGTCAGGGGCCGATTAATTTTTTGCCACTAGACTTCAGCTTATTCGGACAACTGATATAGTGAGTTCGGCTCCTCCTTGTGAGTGCAAATTCGTGGTAAAAATACGTAACGAGTTAAGTCGGTCAACTCTTGTCCCAGAGTGAGTCGGTTGATTTATTTTCTTATGGCCAATGGGGTGTAAGTTTTGCGAGTCAGACTCGTTTCCAGCCAATTAACTTTTTTTTGTGATTAAGTTATAGTTGGCTAGTGTATTGAGTTCATATCTCATATGTTTGGCTTTCTCCACATAATGTAAGTGGAGCGAAACTAAGTTAAGGCTTAAGTTAAACGCTTCTGTTCTGATTTAAGGTTTAACTCATAAAATACTTGTTTAAGTTATACTCAAGTTGAAAACCTACTGTTTGGAGTCTGTAATCAACTTGAGTTGACTTGACTTGTCACAATAAGTTACTAAGGCCTAGTTTTCATAAAACAATTCATAGGCGCAATTCTATGAAACTAATATTACAAACCTTAGTTTGTTGGCCCATTGAGGGCATAATCTTCTTATTAAACATTTAATTTTTTAAATTTTTTGCTTTCAGGTAGCAGCAACAATTGGTTTAAATCCAATTACTGAGAACCAAAAGAAACATTAACAACATTTAAGCGCTTTCTCACAACTTTACCAACTTAAGTTTTCAAAAGACAACACCCGTGTAACAAAGCCTACAAGGAAAACATGGCTGACTTCTTGGACTCTGAAGCTGAGGAGAGTGATGTAAGAAAAACTTAAAATACCTTATCTTAATTTAAGCTTCTAGTTAACTTAGTAATATAAAATGCTCGGGCATTTACAAGTCCAGGGTAAATGCACAGGATGATGCCCAATGTTCAGGCATCTAAAATTTAGGCTATCTATTTATTTACAATTTAATTACTTACCTAGGGTCTATTTAATATAAACAGTCTTACTTGTTTTGCCTTGTAACAAGCCTAATTTTTTGCCTAGGATATTGAAAGTAGGTAGTGTCTACTAAGTTAGGCCTACCAAAGATTTATTTATGAACACTGTTTTTAAGTCGATTAAATGAGAATAAGAAAGAGATATTGGGTTTTATCATGAAATCCTTAGGCTACTTTCCCTGTACAGTAGGTAGTCGCAGCTACAGTAGAACCCCTCATATCCGGCCTTGGTTTTACCGGTCCTCTGTTTATCCGGCCCCTTCCAGGAAGCCAATATCAAAATTTTTTTCTCATAGCTTACAGACGTTTAGATGCAAGCACTAGTCTTTGTGACTGCTGAAGTCATAAAATAAATTGTTCTCATTATTTATCTGTTTGTTTACACATTTATTTGCTGAGTCACTATACTCAGTTGAGCTAGTAGGCCTAACCTCTTATCAGGTGGTTGATTATTTAAAGTGGGGTTAGTACAGTACAGTACGAGTTCATTAATTTTTGTATTTCACAATATGGTTAAGAATGTTGAGTAGAAATGCATGTACCATTTAAGTCCTAATGATCTTTAAGTACAATTTATTGTCATTTTTACCTCCATTTAATAGGTTTTGTTACCTGGAATCATAATATTTGTACATTCATTACTTAATGACATTAACCTATAAATACTTTTTTTTTCGTTTTACAAACATGTTTATTTTTCTAAAAATTATGCCAGAACAGAATTAAATGATACTTTTGATTGCATATATTGATTACCTATTATTATTAGGTATGAATTGTCATTTTCATAGTAGGTTGGTTTATCCGGCCAAATCGTTATCCGGTCAGGGACTTGGTCCCGTGGTGGCCGGATATGAGGTTTTCTACTGTAGTCTGGGCGCGCGGGCGTGCTAGGGGGGGGGGGTAGAGGGGAGTGTTTATTGCTAATTTCCAAAAACATCTGGCCCACACGGCTCTCTGGGGTTGTTCAGCGAGGCTGTAGGGGTGAGCGAGCCGTTACTCTCAGCACAGCTAGTACACAAGGGTCCGCGTGCCCAGACTAACTGCGACTACTGTACTGTACCATTATTTGTTGGGGTTTTCAATAAGTTTTAGGTAAGTAAAACGCTAATTGAGGCCTAGATGTTTTTGTTCTTTTGTGGTTTTAAAACTATAATATCAATTGTCAGTAATTGCATAAAATTAACTTAAAGTTTAACCATACAACATTAGGCTATTTAACCATAAACCAGAGCTACCAGCCACAGCTAAATGGCTGCCAGTGCCTAGACCAGATCAGTGCTACCATTGTTACTTTAAAGAAAAACTCAACACCAACAAATTCTAATACAGTAGTGTTTTGACATCATTTGTTAAAATATTACCATTGGTAAAAAAACTATATCCTTGGTAAGGAATAGCACAAGTTTAGCACGTAAACTTAAAATGACCAGTAGGATGTACAAAATATTTAAACTGTACATGGCAGTTCACTTTTGACATAACTTATCGTACTAACTTTCAGAGATAGTTTTTAACAATGTGATACATATTTCAGGATGAGGAGGAGATGGAACCGCACGAGAAGAAGAAACTTAAGAAACTCAAGGCCATGGAAAGTGACGACGATGAGGATGAAGGTACAATAAATAATATTTCAACATAGCCTATTGTTGGCCATTAAATGTTAAGCTTGTTAAAAAAATTTAGCTTACATGAAACTATTTAAGAATTATTTACCATAAGTTAAATTATTCTTCATTTTTTTTAACTTTGAGAAATATCCAAACTAGTTTTTACTGCAGTCATTGGAGTCTTGTCCTGTCTTGTCATTGTATTATATTGTTGGTTGTTAACTGATCAGACTGATGTTTTTGTCAATCGACCCGATCTGTCAGTAGACCATTTTCATAACTGTCCAAGCTTTTTTGTCCTATCTGGTGACCTGGCATTCTACATTCAGCAACTTAGATGCTTGATCAATTAAAATTGATGTAGCCAAGCAAATTAAAGTGATTTAAGATAAGCCCTATCAAGAGTTTTGAATCATCAAGAGGTTTTGATTTACCCGGAGAAAAAGAAATCCAAATTGCAAAGAGTTATTTTTTGCTAAGTCTTACCCTTGTAGTTCACTTTTGCTTTAAGCTTTAGAGTTAGGCTACCTATTTAAATTTACAAATATCACTGTGTTGCTGTCTTGGTAGGCTTTAAAAATAAGTTTGAATCAACGTTTGACAACTTTGAAAAGACAATTTAATCATTAAGTCTGGTTATAAAATACACTTGAATAGAAAGATATCTTGTTCAACTTTTTAGATGACGATGAAAAGCTGCGGGAAGAATTGAAAGATCTTATTGATGACAATCCAATAGAGGAAGACGAAAGTGGAGAAGATTCAGATGCATCGGGGGGATCTAAAAAACGGAAAAAAAGTGATGACGAAGATTTTGATGATCGGCTAGAGGATGAAGATTATGACCTTTTAGAAGAGAACTTGGGGAGAAAAATTGAGCGCAAAGTAAGTACAGTTCCTATTACTTTTGTAAGATTTTATTCAAATTTATTTTTTAATCTGTTGATTACCTACTACAGGTTTTGTAGAACTGTCTTGTATTTTTAGATTTGTGTAGGCCTATCCATGACCAAGTAAATATTTAGCCTAGATATTTGTTCACCCCCTTCCCCCCCTTAAAGTGTCACTAATTTATGTCACCTGTTTATTCTTGAAATATTACACTACAAACAATTCTTATGAGTTTTAATAATCTCTATAAATTGACTGATGGCCTAAGAAAAGAATATGTTACAAAGCTTGGGTGTGACATTTTTGAATTTCCACAAATTTAATGTAGGCTATTGTTGAATAGAGCAAGCGAAGCTCTTGATTACTTTGGCTCTTAGGTATTTCGGTTCATACATAAACTTCTCAATTTTCCATGTTAATAAGGCCTGTAGATGTGAGCACCAACTATATGCAATAAAATATGTTTCAAGGAATCTGCCCCAGATTCCCACAATTTTAACGTTGTCCTTGGGGCCTATGGAAACAGTATTCGACACATAGGCTTAAACTAGACATTAGATTAGCTGTTGACTTCAAAATATGGCACCAGGATATAACTGCTGTAATCAATTATTGTACATGTCAATCATCGTTAAGATTGTTGTTAACTATTTGTATGCCTGATTTAGTTATTTCTTGTTTTCAGTTTTAACTTGATTGATTATTTATCACTTACTAAAACAGTTAACTGTTGTGTGTATTTGTAGCTTGCTGCACACTTTTTCATCATAAACATAATTTGATGATTTTACAGAAAAGATTCAAAAGACTGAAAAGAATCGAAGATGACGACTCGGGCAATGAAGAACAAGAAGGAGACGAGGGCGAAGACAGAGAAGCAATTGCCAACCAACTGTTTGAAGGCGGCTCAGACCATGTGAGTGAAAGTTGACATTTTGATCTTCTACAAGTTTTTATTTTACCTCTAACTAAAAAGTGTGCTGTGTTATTTTTTCATCTAAATGTACATTTTTTTGAATATTGATGTTTGTTTAAGTTGCTAAAAAGTTGATTATTAGTTTCCAAACATCATTTCTCATCATTTTTGTTTTGTAATGGTTAAGGCTCGTTCAAACTGCCGTGGTATGCGTTACGAGTAAAGAACAACGCTATTAAATGGGAGTGCCTACACGGTATACCGGCACCGGCGTACAATTTACCCTCGTACCGCCAAAAAGCTGCATGCTCTATTTTTGCTGCGCGGTATTTCAGGGATGCGCATATTCTCAGTGCTGTACGTAAATTCTTACAACATATTTTTAATAGTTACGCCCAGTACCATGTACACTGTACCACACCAGTGTGGGCACCCTACCATACAGCTACTGGTGTATCTGTCAAAGTAGTATAAATAAATACCCATACCGCGGACTGCGTACTGCGGCAGTTTGGGCAGGCCTTTATATTAGTAAGCAGTCCCCTTATAAAAATAAGTATTTATATTGCACATCTACACGCAGCTTTAAAACTTGTATTTTCAAGATTCTTTTTTATTTTACACGAGGTGATAGCCCGTCCTACGCACGGGAGTAGTCAGTTAAAACTGTGTAGGCCTATAAAATTCAGAACAGCTATAGTTTACACGTATAAAGACAAATTTTATTGCAGCCTTGAGTAGAAAGAGTAATTATCAATTGAGAAGTGTATAGGTCTAGTCAATGATATCACCTTCCATCGCATACCTGCCTCTTCCATAATCAATATCACCACAATACAATTACTCATACACAATTTCCAGTAGGTCTGAATTGAAACTCCCTAAAATAAAACGAAAACATCCAATAAAATTTACAGTACACATAATTATAACGTTGGTGTCCTGACATCATTAAACTAATCGTCCACACACATCCTTATGTAAATTTCACTGCATCAATTGCTAAATAAATAAGTGTAAACAAAGAAAAGTAAACACAACAACATATTAGTTTGTTTTGTAAACAGCTGAGTCAAAAATAAAATACTATTCATTTGAACAAAAGAACTGGTCACATGTTGAAGGAATTTAAAAAGTAAAGACGCTAGTAAAGCTAGTGACGTAATTTAATTGTCTATTGATAATCAAACCACCGCAAACCACCCTCATTGAATCAATGTACATCGTAATTCCCCATATTCATTTATTTAAACTATACAATATTCAGCGCCTACAAACGTAACCACAACTAAACACACGCCAAACAACTTTTTATATTTCATAAAAGGATGGTTAGTCTAATTGCAGTATCCTAGGTCAATGATGACGTTGTGTTCAATCTATGTCATTCATCTGTAGGCCTATATCTTTGGATAAAACCCGTCTGAGGTTGTGGTGGTAATTTAAAATCGTATTCCTGAGGATTCTTGATCTCCATCTTTATGACATCAATATTTCCGGCCTAATCCAAACGGATTCAAAAACATTGATTGTAAACAAAAAGCTGCAAAGATGAATTAAAACATGTAAAAATTGTGATTTTCCTACCCTTTCCATAAAAGTTGAGGAGTAAAATAATTTGCATATTACTTTTTTTTTAACTCGTGTAAAGAGCCTCGACCTTGTACACATGGATGGTGTTACTTATCTTGGTGGTCTAAATCTTACTTATTTCCTATATTCAATGACAAAATCAGAGTAAATAACTTCATAGTTCTATAGGGCATTTTTATAATTAACCAGCTGTTAGTTAAAACAAATTATATTGCACTAAAAAACCGAAAATTACAAAGATTACTTTAAAAAATAATTTGAACATCCTAGTATTTTACTATGTATATTTAAATAATCCGTCATCCTCTTATCGAAGGATTGAACGTATCAATGATTGGCATTACACATAGTATAAATAAGTCAACCCTTAGAATATCTTTTAATTTGATCCAAATGCTGAATTTGTGTTACAAACGCTGAATGTTTACAGCTGTTAAGCAAATTATATTAGGCTATACCAAAAGCTAGTTTAGAATCTTAGCGTCGGCTGCTAGACTTTTCAAAAATTAAAAGTTAATTTCTAAATAACTGGGACCCTAAACTAAAATTATGGCTTCGACATTCCCTAGTTCTCAAAATTATCTTTCTTTCAACACAAAAATCATGAAAATCCGTTGAGTGGTTGATTCAGAATCGAGAAATAAAAAAAACCCTGTTTCGTTTTAATATTATAGATTACATTGAAATTAGATTTGGTCAACTACTCATTTAAAAGCCTACATTCAACAATTTTTTTTACACAGTATGTTCAAATTGTGATACTACTACCATTGAAAATTATATGTCTGACCAGTGAATTTGTTACTCATTTGAAACATTGTTGTACATAGTAGCTTATGTGTTTTGTCTGATTTTGCTATCATCAAGGGTTCTGCAATCACAGTAGTTAGTAGAGTAAAGAACTAACTCATGTTTTCAACTCACATTTTTTGTATATGCTTACATTGTTGTAGACCTCACTTCTTGTTTAAACATGTTGTTGAGTGAAAATTATAAATTAACGTTAGGTATATAGGAGACAAAGGGACAATCAGGATGCCTTAAAAATTGTAGACATTCAATTCAGCTTTTCCTTTTTTTGTGTGTTGCTTTTGTGAAGTGGGATGCATACAATTTTCAAGGAAAGTCTGGTTATCCAGTCCTTTGTCTCCTTAATTCTCAGGTACAGTTAGGTCTAGCCCTTTCCAATTGAACCAAATCAATGTAATTAATTAACATGTTAGTAGGCCTGCCTGCTGGTTGCCTTGTACAGTGGAACTCCAACTTTCCTTATTAATTGGGACGGTACCACATCGGATGATGAACAATTTTGATACAGTACTTTGCATTTTTACCGAATTTAGAGTAGGCCTATTACATAAAAATATACTTAAAACTCCCAAGTGAAAAATCACATTCGAGCTGAACTTTTGCTATAAGAATGTGTGGATGATAACGTGACTGTGGGAGACAATAATAATAACAATAACCCATGCTGCAGCAAACCTGCAGACTAAGCGAATTTCCATAATTTGCCTGAATTGATTTTAAATTAAATCCATTTAAATAACATTAGGTTTAACAAGTACTTAAGTTTGCTGCCACAGGAGAGGCTAATAAAGTGTGTTTTTAGTAAAATATTAGTTTAGCTTGTATAAAATAAATAAATTTACCAACTTAGATCAAAATATTTCCATAAACAAGCAAACAGCAACATTTTACAATATTCTCCTTAAGAATAACATGGGAATTTTGAATTTTCTTTATAACCAATAACCGTACAAAAACACTTTGGCATACTAAATTATTTGCTATATTAATCTCTTAAAAATGGTTTTAAGAGAAATCAGGAAATTTTGTGTTTTGAGGGTCAAAAATGTGAAAAACCAATTTTTACTCGATAAAACTACCCGTAAAACCCTCTTCCAATGGTCCGATCATGCTGTTTCGCGAACTCCGTCAAGTTTATCCTGCCTTACACTCCAGGAATTTTCTGCGATCACGACTTCTGCCTTCTTTTAAATTGATTCCTTGCTGTTTTCCGCATCTGTTAAATGTAGTTTTGGGCTTTTAAATTCTTTCTATTAACAAATAGGTGAATTGACGATTTGGATAGTTGGAGTTTGGATTAATAATTTGGAGTTCTATTGTACCATAAAAAAATGGGCCAATTACGTTTTAAATCCAAATGAGAAATTAGAAAATATATTGCAGAACCCTACCATTGCTTCTCACTTGTAGTGTTTTGATGTGTTGTGTTGTTAATGCTTTGTGTTTGTTTGCTGCCTTGCTGCGTTCTCCCCGGTACATTAGGAGATGGAGGAAAGGGTACGTTGCCTACATATCTTAAACCTTATATCCCAGTGCTTAGTTGTACAGCTGATTTTGTAAATATGTGTCAGGTAAAATGGTTTTGGAAAGAAAATGCTGCCGAATTAAAAGTGTGTCTACTCATATTATTCACTCATCTTGATTTTAAATTGAATTGCACATTGCTTGTTGTTTAACCATTTAGTTTCATCTTAGTTATCTTCAATTGAATAAATAGCTTGTATTGTCTTCATTTTTTCAGTTGAAATCATTCCCTCACAATTTACAAACAATTTAATCCGGTTACAATTCTATTTAATTTTTAATTTTATTTGATTGCCCTGAAATATGGTTTTCTATTGTTAAGATGAGCTCCAGGTCAGCTACCATTGCTTAAGTTGTAATTTTTGTTCTGTTTAAACGCTCAAACAATTGTAATCAAGTTTATTTTTAATCAGCTACCATTAAATACTTAAATATATACTTATTCAGGAAAATATTTGTAAATTAAGTATGAAAGACTTTCAGAAGCTTAAAAAGAACTGTAGAGTGAAAAAAGTATTAACAATTCTTTTGGTAGGATGATGATCATGAATCCGAGCGGATCCATCGGTCCGAAGCTGATCTCGATATGGAAGGTGAGGAAGAAGAATCAGATGCAGACGACTTCATTGTTGACGACGACGGCCGGCCCATAGCAGACAAACGCAAGAAGAGAAAGCCCATCTTCAGTGATGCGTGAGTTTAAATAGTCTCAATTAAGATCGGTTATGAACATTTTATACTTGTTCGTAATATATTTTGATTTTATAGCTAGAGTAACGCAATTGAAACATGAACATAGCTCTTAACTATTTTTTGTTAGTGTTTTAACCGAAGGGAAAAGTGGACACCGCAAATTTTGCCCTAAAATAAAAGGATAATTTCAGGGAACTGCAAAACATAACATGAAACACATATCAAAACATGCTTTAGATTTAAAAATAGAAAGAGCAGTCTACTTATTGTATGAAAAGTCAAGTTTTAGCTAAACCCATTGAATTAGTCATACTCTGGTCTAGGCATAACAATATTCACTTTACAAATGACCAATTTGTAAATCGTAGCAATCTTCTGATTCTTGAATATGAGAAAAAAAATATTAATAAAATTCTACTGAGGTCAAAATAGATTAGAGGAACGAACCATGTTTAAAAATATATTGTTCATGCCTGAATCTACAGATTTATGATTTTCTTGTGATTTCAGCGCTTTGCAAGAGGCTCAAGATATCTTTGGTGTTGATTTTGACTACGACGAGTTTGACAAATACGGTGATGAGGATTATGATGAAGAAGATGACGAAGAAGACGAGTACGTGGACGAAGATGAAGACATTGAAAGAAGGTTAGTTGGATAATTAAGCTCTCAAATTACTTCATTCCTCAGATTTATAACAAACCACGTTAAAAAAATATAATAACTAAACCCATTTTGTCAGTAAATTAGGCTACCTGATTTTTCACATTTTTGTTCTTAGCGCAACTGGAAAACTGGGAATAGTATGTGAATTTTTACAAAAGAGAAAAATGCTGTGAATTTCGGAAACAACTAAAGTAGCGGCTGTCTTTAATGTAAATTTGACCTTACAGGAGAAAACCAAAGAAGGCAGCGAAGAAAAAACCAACAAGAAAATCAATATTTGAGATATACGAGCCCAGTGAACTCAAGAGAGGTCATTTCACCGATTTGGATAATGAGGTGTGTATGATTCAGATTTGCGATAGTAGATGGTACTATATTATACAGATACAGCATCAAAAATCCATAATCTCCAATAATCTAACAAGGTCCTGAATCACTGAGAAACCTTTGTTGAACTTTTTTGTCTGTTAAGCCCTGTTCACACGGGGCGAGTTTACAAGCTACACGCCGGCTTTTTTACACGCAGCTAGTAAAATAGCTCAGTGTGAACGACGTACTCGCTCAAAAGCTGCTTGTAAAAAAGCTCTGGAAAAAGTTGACGCTGCCGCTACTTTACACGCCAACTCGCCAGCTTTTGAGCGAGTAGGCGTGTAAAGTAGCCCAGTGTGAACACAGTTGCTTGTGCTTGTGCGCTTGTTACTCAAAGATGTTGGAGGATTTGGTTCAAGCCAGCTACTGAGCGAGTGGAAAAAGCATCGTGTGAACGACTACAAGCGCACTCGCCGACTCGCCGGCGTCTTTCTACACGTCTGCGAGTTGGCGAGTTGACAAGCTCCGTGTGAACCGAACACAAGCACACTCGCCAACTCGCCGGCTTCTTACACGCTGGCGTGTAGCTTGTAAACTCGCCCCGTGTGAACGGGGCTTTACTAAATTATTGTTTTCAATTGCATTCAAGTTATCAAGCAGTTGCATTCAAGTTGATAATGATACAACAAATCGATTTGAAAATCTGTAATGACGACTGTCACTAAACTGTGAATTTCAGTGTCATGTTAAATGGGACGATGTTGATGCATTGCTCTGTGTGTTTTGTAGATACGTAACACGGATGTCCCCGAAAGGATGCAACTGAGAGAGTTCCCAGTCACTCCGACAGCCGAGGGCTCAGACGAACTGGACAAGGAGGCCGAGTGGATATACAAACAAGCTTTCTGTAAAACTACCATCTCCAGTCAGGTATGTTGACAGTGTTTACAACATATACAACAAATTCCTTTTTAAGCCCACTGTGTTAAACCATAACCGATGTTGACCGAATCATGTTAATGAAATACAAATCGGTTGAAGAATTAGCTAGGCTACGGGAATCGTCCATGTGACGTGAGTAGCTGACCAACGGAGTGTATTAGAGCAGACGACAATGCCGTATGGTTAAAATGATGTAAAAACGTCTGGCAGCAGATGTGTTTGAACCGAAATAGCTCTTGAATGTCAGTCATAGACTACACGTATAATAAAGGAATGCCACTTGGCTAGTAAGGTTTTTTTTTGTAGATTTCCTCTTCAACCTACTCTATAAACAAGTTTTACTCCAAGACACGATATCAGTGTTATGTTTGTGTTCTTTTGTTTTGTGTCTATTAGCCTCTGGTCTCTATTTTCTCAGGAAAGCTAGCTAAACTATTCCTAAAAAAATCCTAAACAAATATTAGGTTCTGAAATGGCCTTAAATCTCTTTATTTAGGATAGTTGGGGTTATGTCAACTAAGCATTCATTTGACTCCCCTGCAGTAGCAAGATATTTAGTGGTGGATGTATATTTTCTGTTTATTTTTAACTTCTCTGACTAGGAAAAAGTGTTCCATAACTCTTTAAATAACGGCTCAGTGCTTTCTGCTACGGCTACTGCTTTTCTTGGATAGAATAAGCTTCATTAAAATATTTTAGCTAACACCTACAGTAGACTCTCTCTTATCCGGATACCTTTTAACCGGACATCGGATTAACCGGACTACACTCGGCGGAAATGACATCTGTTTAACCGGACAATTTTTATCAGCACATTGGTTTAACCGGACTAGATCGGCAGGAAGTGGGCAGTACTGAAACGACTGTTCTCGTGGGAAAGATTTGAGACCAGTGATCACGTTTCTAAATACAATGCTCTCCTAAATTTAAGTCAAATATCACAGTAAACAGTCCGTTTTAAGGAGTTTTTGGGGACGTCGGTTTAACCGGGAAACCCGTTATCCGGACTGGCCTCGGTCCCGAGGAGTCCGGATAACAGGAAGTCTACTGTACTACAACCCTCATCTATGTCTTGTGTTTAGATAGTTTGACATAATTTGTTTATTTATCTCTTAACTGTTATATTCAGGACGGGCCGCCAGAGCAACGCGACAGACAGCGGCGAGGACCGCAAATGGTGGGCAAGATCAAGAAGGCGCTGGATTTCATGAGGAACCATTTCTTCGAAGTTCCGTTCATTGCTTTTTACCGCAAAGAGTACGTGCAGCCGGAACTCACCATCAACGATCTTTGGCGTGTCTACAAGTTTGATGCTAAGGTACAATAACCATAAAAGTTACGTTATATTTAGATTTACTGTAAAGAATCTTAAATTGTTCTTCTTGAACTTTAGAGATAGTAGGCCTAGAGACAAGTTAAAAAGAATCCACTCAGTCAATATTAGCCTACAGGCTAATGGCCTTCTGTTAATAAACAAGTTTTGGCAATTTTTCACAATAAATATTTCAAAATGGCAGCTATTTAAAATTTTTCTGTTTTACTCCACACAAAGTAATGACTATATTTAACAGTAAGTTTTGTTTAATATTCTAAAAATACCTTAACTTATAAATGTTGGAAAACCAAAGATTTGTAGCGGTTTTAATAATTTTTTACTGTTCTAACAGTGGTGCTTACTGAGAAGTCGCAAGATGACACTGATCAGCCTGTTTGAGAAGATGAGGGACTATCAAGCAGAACAGTTGACTAAAGATATCAACGCAGATCTACCAGAGGGCATCAGACTCATCCGTGATGAGGATATTGACAGGTTCGTTGAGAAATGTGTCGAGTTTTTTATTGTGGGTCTCCATACTGAATTTTTCTTTGAGGTTAGCTCTGACACGCTGCAATATTGTTATTTTGCCTTGTGCTTAGTTTAAACAATGGTCCCTTATCAGTGGTACAAAAAATGTACAAAAATTACAGTAAGAAACTGCAAATAAACCGTGAATTAAATTTTTACGTTGGGACAAGTTTAAGTTTGGACTCTGTATTGTAAAGTTATTTGAAAATTTGTGTATAGAGTTACACTTTTCAAATTCATGACTACATTGACCATTCTATTTAAAGGTTGCGAGCCGTCCAGACCACTGAAGAGTTAAAGGACGTCCACTCTCACTTCCTGTTACACTATGGACACGAGGTGCCGGCCATGCAGGAGGCAGTGCGAGCCAAGGAGCGTGCGGCTGAGGCGGAGGCACGACGGAGGGAGGCGGGGGGAGAGGAGGGAGACGAGGTAGAGGTGGTGGAGCCACCGCCCCCACCACCCTCGGACACCATCAAACAAGCTGTGCGCAGCGGACCTTACGCCATGTGTAGGAAAGCAAAGATAGGTAGGTCATGTTGTCTGTTTTACCCCGGAAAACATATGTTTAAGTACTTTAATCTTACTAACTTAATTTAACGAACTCGAACTAATAGATCAGAACAGATTAACCCGTCTAGTCGTACCTGGATCTCAGCTCGAACTGAAGCATCGTCTTGCTCTCGTAGGGGAGGGGGCTTATCTCCAAACCCAGGTTCCAAAGGTCACTAATTGTCCTTCTACTCTACATTGTTCAAATAATAACTTAGGCTAATTCTCTTCTTATTTACAACATCTCCTCCCAACCAAATAAAATTCCTTTTTAAAATTTATGTACACAACATTGGGGGAGATACATCTTCTTGCGTCTTCTTACATCTCCAATCTCCGAGGCGCTCTAATGGTCCTGTTAGAGCGACGGAGTGTGGCTGGGCTTCCTTGATTTGTGCCGTTGGGCGATACTATTGGTTTTGCCATAGGTGATGTGCGGGTTCCTTGATTTGGTGATTTTGGTTTCGCTGGTGACCCTTGCTGTTTGGCTGGCGATATTCGATGTTCCGCCGGGCTCTGGTAAAGTTCTCTCGGAAATTGTACCAAGATATCACTATCGCTGTCACCATCTTCCCCCTCCGAAAGATTTACCCTCAGGTGGTCAGCATTTACAAATCTACTTCGGTTGTCGACTTTGACCAAATATGTTACTGGACTTATTACTTTAGTGATAACGCCAGGCTGCCAATTGATCTTCTCGTTACGTACTGTTTTTACGTAAACCTTGTCTTGAAGTGTGAATGTTCGTTGCTTTCCACGATGAGCATTGGCACTCTTGACAATACTTTCTTGCTTGTTAAGCATTTGGTCTGCTAAATGAGGTTTCAGCAAGCTAAGTTGAGTTCTGGGCTTGAATTTAAACACAGCCTCTGAAGAGGTCAAATTGGTTATGGTGTGTGGGGTATTCCTGTATGAGAACAAAAATGAGTCTATTCGATGCTGAAGCGACCGTGATTGGTTGTATTTTGCATCATGCAGCAATTGCCTGTGAAGAGCATGTTTCACTGTCTGGACTGCTCTCTCGGCGAGTCCATTTGAGGCTGGGTGATAAGGCGGAGACAAGACATGATGGATTCCATTAGAACTTAAAAATTCATTAAATTCTTGGGATGTAAATTGGGGACCACCATCAGTTACAATAGTAGTTGGTAAGCCAAACGTTGCAAAACAATGCCTCAGTTTTTCTATGGTTTGCCTAGCTGTTGTAGTTGGCATATAAAAGACCTCAATCCATTTGGAGTGACCATCAACCAAGATTAGGAACTCCTTTCCTTCAAATGAGGCAAAGTCGAGATGTAGTCTCTGCCAGTTGTGTTTGGGCCACGCCCAGGGTTGTAGTGGAGCCAGAGGAGCAGACTTGCGAGTGCTTTGACAAACTGAACAACTCTTGACCATGTTCTCGATCTCCGAGTCCATTCCAGGCCAGAAAACAAAGCTACGGGCTAAAGATTTCATCCTAGACTCTCCCGGGTGCTCGGAGTGAAGTAAAATCAAGATTTCTTTACGATGGGTGGGTGGTATCACCACTCTGCTTCCCCACAATAGGCAACCTTTTTCCACAGACAGCTGAGAACTTTTATTGGCGTATGGCTTTACGGTTTCATCATTTACAAAATTAGGCCAACCGTTAGAAGTAAAATCCAATACTTTCGACAAAACTGGGTCAAATTTAGTTGCTGTTGCAATTTCCTTGGAAGTGATTGGTAGTCGGTATGAAGCTGAAAAGAATCAAATCTCACCTTCCTCCTCAGATGTCTCACATGGCAGCCGCGACAGTGCATCGGCATTCGAAATTTCTTCCCCTCTTTTGTAGCGAATATTGTAGTCGTAGGCCGCAAGTGTTAGAGCCCATCGTTGTATCCGTGCTGCAGCCAGAGTCGGTATCCCTTTTGTTGGACCTAAGAGAAAAGTGAGTGGCCTATGGTCAGTCACAAGGGTGAATTTTCTACCATACAAGAAGTTGTGGAATTTCTTCACTGCGAAGATGATAGCCAGTGCTTCCTTCTCAATTTGGCTATACTTAACCTCACACTTGGATAAGGCTCTTGACGCAAATGCGATTGGTCGTTCTGCCCCGTCAGGTAGGTTATGAGCAATCACACATCCAATTCCGTAGCTGGAACTGTCAGAGGTTACAATAATGTCCAATTCGGGTTGTAAGGCATTAGAACGTTGTCCTTAACGAGTAGATTCTTGCACTGTAAAAATGTAGCTTCGCATTCTTTGCACCAATTCCACGGTACATCCTTATTCAATAGCCTATATAAAGGATGGAGCAAAGTTGACAGGTTTGGCAAAAATTTGCCATAGAAATTGACTAAGCCTAGGAAAGATCGCAGCTGCGTAACATTTTCAGGCTTCGGAGCGTTTGCAATAGCCTTCGTAAGGTCATCCGATTGATGAATTCCCTTTTCATCAATTCGATACCCAAGAAATTTCAGACTTTTCTGAAAGAATTCACTCTTTGACGTGTTAATTTGAACGCCATATTGACACAAGCGTTTCAACACCGCATCTACCTTAGTACACATGTCTTGTGTATTTATACTGTAAATCAAAATATCGTCCAGGTAACATACTGTACCCTCTAACCCAAACAAAATTTTGTCCATTGTAGCTTGGAATAGCGCCCCAGCGCTCGTAATACCATATGGAAGTCGAGCATATCGATAAAGACCCTTATGAGTATTAATAGTTAGAAGTTCCTGTGAGCTTTGGCTAACTTTTAGTTGACTATAAGCAGCCGTCAGATCTAACTTAGAGAAACACTTGGATCCTGATATTTTTGCAAAAATGTCTTCAGGGTTAGGGAGAGGGTAGTGGTCGGTTCTTAACCAGGGGTTAACAGTAGATTTAAAGTCGTCACATAGGCGCACTCCTCCATTATTTTTCGGAACTACTACTATTGGAGAGCTCCAATCTGACTGAGTAACTGGGAAAATTACACCATTTTTCATTAAATTGCCTAATTCATTTTCAACTGCGTTGCGCAGAGCATACGGGACATTTCGGGCTTTACAGAAAACAGGCCTAGCCCCTTCTTTTAAAACTAAATCCACAGAAATATCTTTAATCTCTCCAATAGTGTTCTCAAAAACAGAAGCATATTTCTTCTTCAATTCATTAACTAGGCCTAAGTCAGAGGTTAGAACGGTCTTACCGTTAAGCTGATGCACATTCGTCTCTGCGCTGGCAGCAACCTGATCACTAGGTCCCATTGAACTCCAATCCAGTTTAAGCTTTTCTAGCCAATTACGTCCCAGTAGCGATGGCTGGCGCGCTCCGGCGCTCTCGATGACGACAATCGGCAGATGCTGGCTGTCTCCTGTGTTGGTGCTAATATTAGCCTGAAACTTTCCAAGAACATTTATATCCTCTCCAGTGTAGGTTTTCAACTTAATATGACACTCTTCCAGTTTAGTTTCCTTTTTATAAAAATTTTCAAAATAAATATTATCAGGCATAACCGTAACTACAGCCCCAGTATCCACAACCATCTCAATCGGGACCTTATCAATCATGACAGTTGTGACAAATCTATTTACTTTAGATTGTGACTGGTTAGCCTAGGCTATTGTATGAAGGCCTAATTCATAATCCAAGTCTGGCTGGCCAGCGGGTGATTCATCTTCCTCGCTGCCAGATTCACATATATTTACACGGCCCATAGGCCTACTGTGAAATTTATTACTAGGCTTACCATATTTGTTGTTAGGCCTAGAAGGCTTACTTGATTGACACATATTAGAAAGATGACCCTTTCTCTGACAATTGAAACATGTGAATTCAACATAAGGACAGTTTTTGGAGTCATGTGTTTTACCGCAACGGTAACATTTTTGCTGAAACACACCCTTAGGCCTAGGCTTAAATGATCCCTGCCCCTTCCGATTTATGCCCGGGGTAGGCTTAACAAAATTGATTTCACCTACATTTCTTTCAGGGTGGAGAGATCTAACATTACGATCTGCATTTTCAATAACCAATGCAATATCCATTGCCTTAGAGAAGGTTAGGGAATCCCCCTCTGCCAAAAGTTTACTTTGGATAGCTGCCGACTTTAGGCCGCAAAGAAACCTATCTCTAAGCGCTTCATCAAGAAATTTATCAAACTTACAAGAAGCAGCAAGTTTCTTTAACTGCATACAATAGTCTGATATTGACTCTCCCTCCTTTTGTGACCTTTTATTGAACAGAAATCGCTCATAAGTCGTGTTAATCTTAGGCAGGAAATGTGACTCCAAAACTTCCATTGCCCCCTTAAACGCTACCTCACCTACCTTCTTTGGATGAAGTAGGTCTTTAAGCGTAGTATAGAGCCTTGGCCCCATGATTGATATGAAATATGACAATTTCTCCTCATCTTTTATTTTATTAATCGTGAAAAAATTGCTTAGCCTTTCAGAATAATTTTCAAAGGTCTCCAGTTCTTCATTAAACTCACTGACTTTACCTATCAGTTGTTTACTCATTGTAGAAACAATTATCTGCACACTTTAAACTGATTTTAAACTCAAAAATCATTTATCTTCACAATTCCCAAACTTTCCTTCCGTGACATGAAAATGACAAGATTCTTGCAACTTGCAGGTTAAAAACTGTCTTCATTGATGAGTCATCACTTGATGGATGACGAACGAAGGCGGGCAAGCGGTCACTGTTACTAGTAACTGCTACATTTGGAACAGTTGCACTCGGTCTGGAACAGGTTTTGGAACCGTGACTGCCGAAATTGGTGACGCTGTAGAACCTATTATTTCGGAACGGTAACTGTTACTTTGGAACTGTTCCCACACACGCTACGCACTTTTCCTGCACGAAATTGCAACTTCTGGCAAAGTGTAAAAACGCACTTTTAAGCTTCAATACTGATAAAAACGCGAACGGATTTCGAAAAAAACACCTCGTCGCCACTTGTTTTACCCCGAAAAACATATGTTTAAGTACTTTAATCTTACTAAATTTAACGAACTCGAACTAATAGATCAGAACAGATTAACCCGTCTAGTCGTACCTGGATCTCAGCTCAAACTGAAGCATCGTCTTGCTCTCGTAGGGGAGGGGGCTTATCTCCAAACCCAGGTTCCAAAGGTCACTAATTGTCCTTCTACTCTACATTGTTCAAATAATAACTTAGGCTAATTCTCTTCTTATTTACAACAGTGTCATAACATATTTGATAAAACTAACTCAGTAGGGATGGGTCAGAGATTTTATTTCAGGTTGGTTCGGGTTATTCTATCCTTGAGACCTCGGACAGAATTGGGTTGCTTTAAAGAGTATTGATTTTTTATTAAATAATTAAAATAAATAAATTCTAACACTACTAGTTTATACAATATTGTCCATTATCTCTCCCTTATCGCAGTGAATTGACGAACATCTTCCACAATCAGGAAAAATTTTAAACATATTCCTTGGGCACGGCTAAATTCTAAACATTTTTCGCGGTCACGTTGATATTATCGTCTCCTACAATCGTGGACAAACCGTGTGCATCTTAACGGTAACGAGGAAATCGTACATCTTCAATCGAGCTTCTTCACAGACGCTTCTTGCAATCGCAAAAATAAGAGCTCAGTTTAACTCGACCCAAGCATGGCTTTTGAATTATATCTGACCTACACCCGACCTCTCGGAAAATTTCTTGTCCGACCCAACCTGAAAATCGGGGACCAGCAGACCTCTAACAACTGATCTAATCGGCCTTCTTAGCAATCTCAAAATAGCGTGAATATTGTTCTTCAAGCAACTTAGAATGGTGTTAAAAAACATCCCTAGCCGTTAAAACTGCCACCAACTTGGATCAGTATCCTATTACAAATACATCCCTAAAAGTTGGTTATATTTAAGAGGAGTGTATATTTAATCATAGGACTCAGGGCCTATTGATGATGTGATATATGTTTCAGACGGGTTTGCCAAGAGGTTTGGTTTGACTCCGGAACAGTTTGGCGAGAACCTGAGAGACAACTATCAGAGACATGAGGTGGAGCAAGAGGCTGTCTCACCCTTGGAGCTGGCTCAGGAATATGTCTCTGGGTATGTAACACAATCAACATTCTTAGGGATGTGGTTTTGCTTGTTAACTTAAGAAAATTAGACTCCAGGGTTTATAGATCAATAAAATGACACACTACTGTTGTTTTGTCTTCATGAAAACCTCTTCAGAGATAAAAGGCTATTCCTCTTGAAGCATCAACTTGTAATATTGTCTCATAATCTTAAAGTAATTTAAAATACTTTAGCTCAAATAAAAAAAAATGGGAATAAATTTGATCTTACTTACTTTCTCCAAGTTTTAATTGAATTTCATGTTATATTTTATAAAAGCATAAATATTAACAATAGCTACACATTTAATTTGATTGATTCATTTTGAAAACTAACAGCAACTTTAAAGACTGTATCTATCTAGCACAAAATAAAATAGATTAAATGGAAGAATCAGTTTTACAACTATACTTATTTGCAGCAAATTCACCACACCAGAAGACGCGCTGCGGGCCGCAAAGTACATGGTTGCGATGCAGATAGCTCGCGACCCCTTGGTGAGGAACTGCGTGAGGGAGACGTTCTTTGAGCGAGCGAAGCTGGACATTGCTCCGACCAAGAAGGGACTCAAGGAGATAGACGAGAACCATCCCTGTTATAGGTTAGTGATGGGAATAGGGTCAGAGTAGAGAGGAGAAGTTCTGACTACAGTATGGTTATCTGCATATCTGGTACAGTCTTTAGGGATGAGCATCCAATGTTTTTTAATCATCTGTGTTTTTCTATCGTCAATGTTTTTTATCGATGTTGTGTGCCTCTTATGTTACATGAATGTTTTAGACAAATATTGATATTGTGGAGAGCCAACAATGTTTTTTTTGTAACTGAATTTGCACTAGTTGGATGAATATTTTGAAAATGTTAATTTAGTCTTTATTCCACTGAAACACCGATGAAATATTTCTGCCAAAACAATCATAAACTGTTCTGTAAAAAACTATAGTTTCGCTAGAGATTTGACCACTATCTACACTGGGGTTATAGAGTTTCTAGTTTCTGAAAAGTGCAATAAATTGCAGCGGTAAAACTCCTGAATAATAATATCATTGATAATAATTAATTAGGGCCAATAGTACGATTCTTGCAAATGCTTGTCTAGAACTTCCAGGTAAACTAGCTGAAAGCAGTAAAAAACAAATACGTCAATAAAATTATCAACAATCTAATTTATAGCCAACTTAAATTGTGTTATAATTGTTTTCATTTCTTTAACAAAGAATAAAAAATACTAGGTCCCAGAATGACATTTTAACAAGTTATCGGTTTCTAAATTTGAGTAGTAAAAAACACATTTTTGTTGCAGCATGAAGTACGTGAAGGGCAAGCCAGTGAGAGATCTGACCGCAGACATGTTCCTCAAGTTGTCTATCGCACAGAGTGATCGGCTTATCACGATGAGCATTAACGACCAAATCGAGGGAATCACCAGCTCATCTTATTTGGAGGAGGCTAAACAACTTTACTACAGGGTAAGTCGAAGCGGTTAATCCATTCCAAATCTAACTATAGAGGATAAATTAATACTCATTAACTTAGCCGCAAGTTTCAGTCTGTAACAAATTAAGATGTAAGGTAGCAAGAGATGTGCAGGTATGGGAAGTTGACTGTGTGTGTTGTGCACGCTATAACAACAAACAAGTACAGTCAAGTGTCAAGTCATCATTGTCTCCCTCAATTGCAGCAAAATTATTGGTTAGCAACCGATGAACAAAACCTGAGGCTGAGATTTTCCGTTGCTTCACGGTTTTTTTATTAATAAAAACTGGTAAACCTGACAACTAACTTTTAAAACTGGCCCAGTCATAGCAAATACCTTGTATTATTGTCAAAATACTTGAATTTCACTAGTAGTTGTTTTGGAAAGGGATGAAATTCAGCTAGGTTACCTAAGAATATTATATTGTGGTCTTTTATTGTGTATATATTGCCTGTAGACTCTACTTTTCTCCGAAGCAAGCTGAACTCAATTCCTTTCCAAAAATCCCTAAAATGATTAGAGTTCACAGACTTATGTGTATTTTGTTCAGCTTGACTTCCAGAAAATAAAACTTTTTTGTAACCATAACCTCACATCCTAGGGACTTTTTGAAAAGGAATAGATTTCAGCTTGCTTACCTGAGAAAATTCGGAGCCTTTAATGGGTAGTTAATGAACACAATCTATTCTTCTTAGGTAACCTAGCTAAATTTGATCCATTTCCAACCTGCGCTTTCCTATTAGATTACTCCTGTAAGTAAGGTGCTTGATTCTTTTGACATGACCACTCCATCTTAACCTTGGGTGTAAAATACTTTTGTATAATATTAAGAGGGAAATCTAACGAAACATTCTTCTCCAGGATGAGTTCAGCAAGAACGTGCAGGAGTGGAACCTGCTGCGGATGGAGAGTGTGGAGATGGCGTTGAAGAAGATGGTTCTGCCTGATCTGAAGAAGGAACTGCGAGCCCACTTGCTGGAGGAAGCCAAGGAGGCGGTGATGAAGGCTTGCTGTCGGAAACTGTACAACTGGATCAAGGTAGCACCTCTCAGTGTGGACTTTGGGGATGAGGATGACGACGACTGGGACGCCAGCAAGGTGAGGGAATTGTGTTTTATGACTGTTATCAGTTTTCTAACTCTCCTCCGACTTAACCTAGGTGTGACCAGTGAATAGGTGTTCTCACAGTGAAATAAGGTACATCGGAAACTTGCTTATGGGACGACTGTGCGCTTATAGCTAGTATTTGGCTCTAAATATACTTGTTACGAGCAAGGAAGAGCCTGAGCGCCGAGCACTGTACAGAAATTCCTTTTCTTCCTCCAACGAGGATGTTGTAACTTGTAGTAACTTAGACACCAGAGACTAGTGCTAGACGCCACTTAAGTTTACCATTAACTGTTTCCTCTGTACCTTACTTCTCCGTGGTGTTAAGGATTTTTGTTAGGGCAGTCTTGTCAGAATGGAAAAAAAGTCTTTGGCAAAATGGTCAAAATGGCAAAAAAAAAAAAAAAAAACTTAACACTACACACCGAATTTAGAATTTTTCACAGCGTTACCCACCAAAGAATGTTTAATTTGTAGAATAGCCTAAAGGGAATAGGGGTGGATGTTCAAGTGTCTAGACAAATTTCACTAAATGGTGTTGAGTCAAACATTTTTAAACACTCTTTGTCTACACTTGAAATAGTCCACCAGGGGACAAAATATTGTGTCCTTTTTTCCTTTATCATGTGTGTTATGGTCTACCTGTACTTCCTCTAAGGGAAGCTACTGTATTCTACAAATCAAAATCCTGGCTTAAAGCCTTGAAAAACCAACCAAGGAATATTTGAGTTGGTAACAGAGGGGTCTTTATGCCCAATATATTTTGTTTCTTGTTCCGTAGTAGTCTCCTATTTAGGTTGTTCCGCTATCTTAGCAATAATCTACTAACAAATATTTTCTTAATTTTCTTGGGGGAGGGGGATGTTAGGGTCTATAGTTACCCCTAGTTACTTCGATTTTATAGTTTTGAAGCACCCCTTTAAATTACTCCCATAAGCCTTACAGCTTTAGAACACCCATATGCCTACGACTCATAGTCGCCTTGTGGAATCTCAATCTTCTCTGTTAAAGATCTGGACAGTCAGCTACAAAGTGTTGAAATAATTCACCAGTTTTCCCAAAATCTGCATTGGTTTGCTTGACTTGGTTCTAAGGTGCTTCCCTATTGGTCCTTGGTCAGTCTACAGACCTACCAATCGATATCTCATTTTTGTAGCCACAAATCGCCTATCCATCCCTTTCTACATTGACTGTGGTGATTTCAGGGTCTGCGGGTTATGGCGATCGCCTATGTGCCAGACTATTCCCAGGCAGCTTTCGCCTGTCTGATAGCTCCAGACGGAGAGTGCACCGACCATCTGCGACTGCCCAACTTGCTGAAACGGAAAAACTCCTTCAGGGAAGACGAGAAGTTACTCAAGGTACGTGAGGAGTTTGTGCTATTTTCTGATGGACTTGAAATCGATGTGCTTGACACTTTAATCATGCTCCTGTCACTCAGGGAGCAAGCTGGTCTAGGGGTTCTTTGGAGGGGGGCTAATTGTAGATGTCTGCACAAGACTAAAAAAAGCTATTCTACGCTTGCAAGACGAAGAGGCTTAAATACAAATGGTAAGCCTATGTACTTACGCCGCTCTTTCTTGCAAGCCACAAATTCAATACTGTGAATATTTATAGAAAGACCATTCATAAGTTAGGGCACCTCCAAATTTATTTCAAGCTAAGTTTTTAGTTTGGTGTTTTACTGTGTTACTAGCCTAGAGGGGTTCTTAGATTTTACTGCAAGAGTAAAATCTCTCTCAGACAAAATATGAGAGAGATTTTGTCTCTCAGATTTTACTCTTGCCAGACACAGATTTTATTGTAGTCATGGCTCGTTTTTTGTGAGGGGACTGGTTTAACCCCTGATTGATTGGGGTTGACTGGCTTAACTCCTGGTATAACCACAAATTAGAGGAGATTGGATCTTGTTCCCATCAAAGTGCTTGTTATACTTTCATTAAAAATATGCTACTAGGGTGGAAAAACCCATTACACAATTAATTTGTTAATTTTTTACATGGATTTTGGGAGGAATACAGCAAACAATCATTGTTGCAGGAGGCAGATTTGCTAGCTTTACGTAACTTCATCTCCACCAAGCGGCCGCACGCGGTGGTGATCGGAGGAGAGTCCCGGGACGCCATGATGGTGTCAGCTGATGTTAAGGAGATCATCGGAACTCTTGTGGAGGACGAGCAGTTTCCTCAGTTGCCCGTGGAGATCATGGACAATGAGTTTGCCAAGGTGTACGCCAACTCTATCAAGGGAGAGGTGAGGAAATGGTGTTCCACAGGGCTCTGTTTTGGAGCCCCTTTGATTTTCCAGTTCCATTTGCTGATAGGAGCCTTTGTATTTTGCTTGTTTAAAAGTAAGATTTGCAATAGTTTACAAGTCAAATGGGTGGGCTACAATTGCGGTGTGGATATAGCATGGTGATTAAGGACCTAATTAATTATTTGTAAGATACCATTTTTAGCAGTGTACAAAAATAACAATTAAATAAGAACCACAGAGAATCATAAACTTCACTATTTTCTTAATCTTGTTCCTCCATCCTTATCAAATGAAGAAGGAAATGATGCACAACTAACAATTAAATCTAGATTTGTCAACGTCACATAAGTTATCAGAAAAAAAAATCAATGATTATTTAATTTTTGGTAGAATTTGGAAGGAATAAACAACCTGTTTGTAAATTCTTAATTCTTACACATTATTGTGTTTTACCTGATTTATACCCATTGCTATTCAGTATTATTTTGATCATGAATTTTCAATGTCATGATATTCCTCGGAAGCAAGGCGTTACATGAAACCTCATCAAATATTGTTTTGCATATATAAACTGCTTTGTTGCGTTCACTTATATTTTCAGAATAGATAACCAAGAAATTCTTTCACATCTCTTTTACCCATTTTTCTATAGAAATAATGTACAACCTTAAACTAAACTTGAACCCAGTATATTTCAGACTCGTAGCAAACAGCGTTTTGGTGACAATAAATTCCATTATCCCAGTAGAATAATCCTCAATCCTGTTATACCTAAATTACAGAATTCTGCCTATAAAGTATCCTAGATCCCTTTTGAGCAACAGTGTCTTTTGAAACATATGAGAAACATGTTAAGAATAACTTTGATTGGTTTGTTGACAGAATGATTTCCGAGACTACCCAATGTTGCTGCGTCAAGCAATCTCCCTCGCTCGCAGGATACAAGACCCGTTGGTGGAGTTTTCTCAGCTCTGCACATCTGATGAAGAAATTCTTTGTCTGAGATACCATCCTTTACAGGTACGGCAAGTGGCAAGTGATGTTTGCTAGCCTAATTGTCATGTTTGATATTCTGTAAAACCTTGCAAGCTAAAGGTTGGTTTAGAAATTGAGGATACTGTTAATTTTCAGTTTATACTGATTAATTTCCTTAAACATTGGACATTGGTACAATAAAAGTCGTCAGTTGAAACTATCTAACTAATGCACATTTGTAATTTTTTTATGATAACCACGTCAAATAATGAAGGGCCTTACCATGACCATTTACCACATACTCATAGGAAATCTTTACTCACAATATGACTAACGAAAAAAATGAGAATAAAATAATGCTTCTCAGCCTAATGTGTTTGTGTCGTAATAGCAGAAAAATGATAGGCTCACTTTGTATAAGTAAGTGGACAAAATAAAAAGTTTTTCTCATAACTTAATATTACTCAGTTACTATAAGTATTGGATTAAACAATTTACCCAAAAAGTATAATGAATACCTATAATCCAAAATGTCCTAAATATGGAGTTTATTTGCAGGACCACCTTGTCAGGGAGGAGTTGCTGGAAGCCTTGAATCTGGAGTTTGTAAATCGCACAAACGAGGTGGGCGTGGACATTAACCAAGTGGTGGCCAACGTGTACAGCGGCAACTTGGTGCAGTTTGTGTGTGGACTGGGGCCCAGGAAGGTACGTACCTCTAGTAGATCGTTCAATAAGCTTTGCAGGGTGTCATGTCAAGCGGATATAGTTTGTATATAGTTCGTAGTATCGTATCGGATATAGTTTTATCACGGTATAAATATCGATTGTATGTTTTTTAAGTCTTCACACAGTGTTGTGGCGCCAGCAGTTAGGTTAGGTTTTAGCTCAGTTTAGTACATTGTATTCACAAAGAAGAGATATCAATAACGAAGTGTTAAACCATCTTCAACCATTGGAAGTTACAATGTTACAGAGTGTTTCCGTCCTTTTTCCAGGGTGCAGCACTGATCAAGCTGATGAAGCAGACCAATCAGAGGCTAGAGAACAGAACACAGCTGGTGACCACGTGTCACATGGGACCTAAAGTGTTTATCAATTGTGCTGGGTTCATCAAGATAGACACCAACTCACTCGGAGATAGGTAAACCCTAGTTACTTGTAGTACAGAGAAGTAAGGTGCAGAGGAAACGAGCTGCAAGCTCTTTGCGGAAATTCCTATCGCACAGGGTCTTCCTCCACCGTTGTAGTACATGAGGGTGAGGAGGGCAATGCTGGATTGCTGGACCTTTCCCTAGACACCAGTGGCTAGTGCTAGATACCACTTAGGTGTACTATCCTCTTCAACTTACTTATATGTGCCAATAGTTAAACAATGTGTATGTTTAAACCTTAACACTCTCATTTTAAGGGCCTGTGCCCTATGTTCTGGGTTTTATTTATTATGCAGGTCATTAAAGCCTACCAGTATTTTAACTTCCTCCCAATTAAACTTTTTTTAGCGAATTTCTCTATAGGGAAGTAGCTATTACCGTAGGTCTCATGGTAAGACCTAAGCCCGGGACCGATTTACTTTTTCATTTTGATGTCTCCAGAGGCCAAAAACACCATTCATTCAAATTTTTATATATCTATATATAGATATATATATATGTGTCCATCCGCACGATAACTTGAGTAATTTTTGTCCGGTTTTGATAAAATTTGGTTTGAAGGTGTAAGGCGGGATAAACTTGAATGAGTTCGCGAACCAGCATGATCGGACTATGGGAACGGGGGTTTATGGGGGGTTTTATGGGGTAAAAATAGGTTTTTCCCATTTGTGACCCTAAAACACAAAATTTCACACTTTCTTTTTGAACCATTTTGTAGAGCTTAAAAAAACAAATAATTTATTATATTGAAGCATTATTATGCGCCTAATTGTTACGGAGAAAATTCAAAAAAATTGTAATTTTAAAATTCCCATGTTATTCTTATGGAGAATAAGTCAACTGTTGTAGTTTGCTTGTTTATGAACATATTTTGATAAAAGTTGGAAAATACATTAATTTCTTACTAAACCACAGTACCTTTAAATATTCTACATAAAAAAAAAAAACTTTTTTACCCTCCCTGTTGCAGCAAACCTAAGTACTCATTAGACTAGTTCTGTTTAAATAGGGAATAAATGTGATATTTTTTAAGGAGACATTTTAGTTTAAATCCAATCAGGCAAATGGAAATTCGCTAAGTCTGCAGGTTTGCTGCGGCGGGGGTATTTTCTTTTTCTTTTTTTTTTGTCCTAGGACGCTAGTCATGAGCCTGGGATTGTTTTTCACATTACTTCAGGCTCGACCTAAGGGTTGCGGCATTATCACTTCGATAAAATTCATTGGTGACTTGGCGGGGATCGAATCCCAATTACACTAATAATAATACAAAATAAACAAAATCCCTAAAAAATTCAAAAAAGTTTTTTTAAGCCAACATGTGATACAATTGCGAAATGGCCAATGTCACGGCCGACACGAGAGTGGTAAGGGTTAAGGAAGACCAAATGGCTAGTTAGGAGTTTTTCGATAAGGATCTGTCCAACTAGTTTACCTGAGAAAATTGAGTCTAGGGGAAAATATCACTTTTTTTTTAGAATTGAGTTGTGAGGCCTATATTGAGCTTGTCCGAGGTTTTACTGAACTTGCACTAATGAAACTGCACAAATAAACACATAGTGTATTTTGACAGGAACAAACAGAAGATTCTGCTGAAGAAGGAACAAGTAGCTACAAAAATTCTATGTGTTTATTTGTGTTATTGTTTGTTTGTATTGTATTATTTGTGTTATTGTGTTCATCTATTTTTGTCAGTAAGGTTAGCCTGCTGTTAAACCTATTCACCACAAATTCCTTGAAATCCCTCGCCTATAGCCATCTTTACCAAAAAACATCATAACTTTTGATATTTTGCCGCTCAATACACTTTAGGAGTTGGTAGGTGTTTAAAGATTGTTTTCAGTTTCAGCAAAAATACAAAAAAAGTTTTTTCCATTGCGAGGGCAGTGATTTTGATTAATAAAGTCATGACTAATCTGATCAGCAAACTATGTGTGTTCACAGTACTGAGTCATACGTAGAGGTGTTGGACGGCTCGCGTGTACACCCAGAGACGTACGAGTGGGCGCGCAAGATGGCCGTGGACGCTCTGGAGTATGATGATGAGGACGCTAACCCTGCTGGAGCACTGGAGGAGATTCTGGAGGCTCCAGAACGACTCAAGGATCTTGACTTGGACGCCTTCGCTGAGGAGTTGGAAAGACAGGTTAGGAAATAATGGTGTAACCTATCTGTTAACGAAGTGTGGTAAACAATGGCAACTCTATAGTCTTTCCGCAAGATTATGGGTTCCTTTCACACTTAACATCTTGGTTGTTGCTGTATAACGTACATTGAACCTGTATAGTATAATACATTGTTTTGCCTGAAGAGAGTACCACAATGTAGCCACAAAAGATATCCATCTACTACATACTTCGCGAATAATTACTGGATCTTTATATAGTTCTCTTAGCAATACGTATTGTAATCTTAGTAGGCCAATATGACGTAAAGATCCATTTATTAAGTCCGTTGCATTGTCTTCTGTAGGGTTTCGGCAACAAGAGCATCACTCTGTACGACATCCGAGCCGAGCTGAATCACAGGTACAAAGACTTACGTCAGCCGTACCAGAGCCCCAACGCCATGGAGCTGTTCAACATGCTCACTCATGAGTGTCCGGAGACGTTTTACATCGGCAAGATGGTTCAAGCCACTGTCACAGGTACGCTAGTGTTAACTTTTTTAATATCCTGCCTTCACATAATAGGCTCTAGCGCGGAATCGCTGTTCACTATACAGACTGTACCAAAGTCCCGCACCGGTTTAATATTTTCAAAACGACAACAGATAAATCAATAAGATTTGGTACATCAACACCACACCTAAAAATGTACTTTTTAAGGAAATATCAATTTTCTGTCACATCATGGGGACGTCCCGCAAGGAGTCAGAAGGAAATCTTAAATAGAAGCATAGGTTGACATGTACATCAAATTAAAGGTCTTTACTAGCAGAATATAATGCTGCAAATTTGAACTCAAACGGACAACCAAGTCAAGAATGACAGTGGTTCAAAGATTCATTTAATTTGCGTTTGGGGGCACAGCCCTAGGAATCGGGAAAAAATTGTTAACGTAAGCATAGGTCGATATGCACATCAAATTAGAGAGAAATTAGACAAATTAGAGTAGTCACTAGTAGATTACAATGCCATAAATTCAAGCTCAAAAGAACGCCTGAGTAAAAAATGGCAGTCGTTCAAAGATTCAAAATGGCAGGTTCAAGAAATCTTTGAACGGCTGCCATTTTTTACTCAGGCGTTCTTTTGAGCTTGAATTTACGGCATTGTAATCTACTAGTAAAGGTCTTTAATTTGATGTGCATGTCAACCTATGCTTATATTTAAGATTTCCTTCTGACTCCCTGCGGGACGTCCCCATGATATGACAGAAAATTGATAGTAGTTTAAAAAAGTAGATTTTTAAGTGTGGTGTTGATGTGCAAAATCTTATTGATTTATCTGTTGTCGTTTAGAAAATATTAAACCGGTCCGGGACTTTTGGGACAGTCTGTATACTTCAGGCTAGGCTTGAGGGTTTCTTTTAGGGAATTTGTTAATTTTGTTAATTAGCTTTTACCACAATGGAGTTATTGGAGGAAATAAGTAGAGAGGTTTGCAAACAAAAAAGAAATAAGTGTGAGCAAGCAATGCGCGTTGTGATTAGCAATGTTAATATTTTTACTTGTATTTTTACCTCTTGTTCGTCATATGGGGTTTGTGTAATTTACTCTCTTTTTGGCACACCAGCTCACTTTTAATGAATACTGAAAAACATATATGTTGAACACAGGAATCTCCCACAAGAAACCTGATGGAGAACAGTTAGATCAAGCCAACCCTGTAAGGAAGGAGGACACTGGTTTGTGGCAATGTCCGTTCTGTCTCAAGAATGACTTCCCGGAACTCTCTGAGGTTAGTTTTCAGCTTTTAGTTGTTTTAGTAGCTATTTAATAAAAAGTTTGTTATAAATTTTTTACCAGTTGATACACCAAATGTCTCAAATTTTTATTGCTTCCTATAAGGCTTAAATGTAAGTAGTAGGCCAAGTCACATTTAGGTTTTTAATCCAGTGACAACGTATTGAATGGATGGTTTTTTAGCTTGAATATATTTTAAACTACAGGAAAATCACATATCCTGCATCTGTTTTGTGGCTTCAAAAGTTACTGTTAAAAGAACTTTCACTTCTACCAATGAAAATGTTGGCTATCTGTTAAGACTCCAGACTTGGTCCTATTTGTGTGCAGTAACCAAACGCAATGTTTGCAGGTGTGGAACCACTTTGATGCTGGTGGATGTCCCGGACAAGCGACGGGTGTTCGAATCCGGTTGGACAATGGTATCACAGGGTATATACATATTAAGGTATGTATATTTGTCTACAGTTCTATTAATGTTTGTCATTTCTTGATCCCAAGTCTAATGTATTGATTGTTTTGTACAGTGTGAGTCAAGTTGGTAATTACTCTATTTAAATAGTGTGAACACCAAATTGACGCGGCTTTCATTAGAAGACCTAGAATTCAATTTCTTGTAACAATTTAGTTTTTGCTGAGACAGTTTTAACTTTTTTAAACTAATCAGTAGAGTATACAAAGTCCAGATAATACAATATTTATATAAATTGTGGTTTAAAAAATTTCCCCCCCAACAAAATAATAAGTCCCCTTTATTGCTGCTATGTTGTAGAACCTGTCAGACAAACATGTGACGGACCCTGAGGAGAGAGTCAGTCGAGGACAGATGATCCACTGTCGGATAACCAAGATAGACGTTGATAGGTTCGCCATAGATGCCACTTCCAAGTCTTCCGACCTGCTCGACAAGAAACATGAGTGGAGGTGAGTTGACTTGTTTGACGTAAAGGTGTTGTTCAAAATGCTGTTTCGTATACAAACATAAATATTCAAGTTGTCGAAGTTTTTGTACTTTATGTTCGTTTCTACCTAATCGCCTCAAGTTCTCAAACTCACTTGAAAAACTTTTCGAATTTGTAACACCGATAAGCTTAATTCCTTAAACAAACATCTTTAACAATCAATTAAAAACCTCTTTAAACAACTTAATCACCCTTTAAAAACAACTACAACTTAAACATCTTTAAACTACCTAAACACATTTTTATCAACCCAAACACACTTTAAAAACCTAAACAACCTAAAAAAGTTTTAAACAACGGCATCACCACTTAAACTATGTTAAGTTTAGAACACTTTCTATTGTATGAAAATAATTAATAAGTACTTAACCTCTTCTTAAACTACTGTAATTGTGCATTAGACATTTTGTAAACTACCTTGTTACCTCATAAACCCACCTTTTACATAGCTTAGAGATTTTGAATACTTCTTAATATTTAATAACTTAACACTTTATTTTTTATAGCCAGTAACTTAAACGTGTTAACCCGGTTATACTCTAAAAACTCTATTAGGTAAGAGTACTGTATTCTTCAGTTGGATTTATCATATTTTCAGACCAACCAAAGATCCGTACTACGATCATGAAGCCGAAGCTAAAGACATTAAAGTTGAAGAAGAAGCGAAGAAGGTGAAACAACGTCAAACGTACATCAAAAGAGTGATTGTGCATCCAGCGTTCCACAACATTTCCTACGCCGAGGCTGAGAAGATCATGGTTAATATGGAGCAGGGCGAGTGCATCATCCGACCATCTAGCAAGGTAAAATGTTCATTTGATAACTTACGCTTTAAAAAAACTTTCTACAAGTAATCTGTGTAGAATTTGAAGATTAAAGACGCAGTCGTGTTTATTGAGTGGACTATAATGGTAAATTGAAATATTGAAATAAAATATATGTCTAATAACTCTTTAAAAACTTATGTTCACACTTCACACTTGTACTGTTAACTCACAAGACGGTAAATAAATATAAAAATAGGAAGAGGTAATCGATTTATATTGGCGTCATTCGCCTGTTTAGGTCTGATGATGATTCAAGTTTCTAATCCAAAGAAGTTACCACTTACCATCTTTTATATGTAGTATTTACCATTTTGTGAGTAAACAGTATAAGTGTAAATATATATTTCAGAAGCCTTTATTAGACGTATTTTTTTATTTACTTGTTTGTAAATTTGATAACATGATTAACACACATAAAACAACAAAAACAGTTGTTTTGTTTTGGTCACAAAACAATGTTGATCAAGAAGTTATTTTAACTCAAATTAAATTAGTACATCATTCTAAATCGGGCAGATACATTTTGAAATTGCAGTTACATGCTAGTAGTTTGGGTCTTACTATTAACTAACTCTCATCATAAAGTTTAAATGTAGGTATTCGATCATAACATTATCTTGCACTAGGGATGAGAACACTAAACTATTTTAGTTATTTTGAAATATTTATGTAATATATAGAAGTAGATTTATTAAAATTCTATAACGTTCTTTAATTCCCTCTTAAAATGTCTCTTCTATGTTAGACATGCTTTTTATGCATTTTCCTAAATGTAGGGGATACAAGGTTCAAAAATGGTTACTTTCCACGCACCCCGTTTATTGTTTAACAATGGTTTCTTCGGTATTTTCCAGGGCGCCGATCATCTAACGGTTACATGGAAAGTAGCGGACGGAATTTACCAGCACATCGACGTGAGAGAAGAAGGAAAGGAAAACGCCTTCTCCCTCGGCACATCGTTGTGGATCGGCAACGAAGAGTTTGAAGACTTGGATGAAATCATAGCGAGATACGTGAACCCGATGGCGGCTCACGCTAGAGACTTGTTTGCCTTCAGATATTATAAAGACACCGAAGGAGGGCTGAAGGATAAAGCCGAGGAATTCTTGAAGGAGGAGAAGAAGAAGAACCCACAGAAAATACATTACATTGTGTCTGTGTCCAAGGTAAAAAAATGTTAACTTAAAAATTTAGTTACAATTATTTTTAAAGAAACTTAAGAACGGAATAATGGTGATACTCCACTTCAATTTGACCCCTCAAAGGGTGATCATCGCTGATTGAAAATTTTTGCTTGCATAGAAAATATTTTTAGCTGGCATGATATTTAGCACAGGAATTTACACAGCTAATAAATATTTATGCCTGTTTAAGGGAAATGAACTTGCATGCACTTTTTGTATGTGTGTAACTTAACATTTTTATTCCAGGTCTTTGCATGAGAACTTTATAGTTAGATTTACTCATGTTGTTCAGTAATTTCACTGCCACAGACATTATCTTTTAATAAACGTAGGTTTAAAAAAAATGTTTCTAACCACGTAAACCCCTAAACATGAAAATCTAGAGCCTATTGTTTTTTAACATTTAGTGAATTAGTTAGCGTCCATGATTTACTGGAAATCACTAGAAAACAATTATTATTTGGTGTGTGAAGCATTTATGTAAAGTTGTGTCGTTTGTAATACTTAAATAATTAATAACTCTGCAGAGGAGTTTAGGAAATCAGCAAAACTTTATATAGTTAATTTTTAAGACTTTTTTGCAGTGTGCACAATTATATTCATTTATGTTTCAGTCAGTGGTATTTTTTTACTCATGAATTTACCTACACTTTTTGAACACATCACTTGACGATACAACCTAGTTCACTTTTCAAAGAACTTACTACCTTATGTCTGCAAGGACATGAAATTACACTGTGTTTACAGAACTACCCAGGCAAGTTCCTCCTGTCCTACCTGCCGAGGAACAAATGCAAACACGAGTTGATCACCGTAACACCAGAGGGCTTCCGGTTCAGAGGTCAAACCTTTGACACCATCGGCATGTGCTTCAAGTGGTTCAAGGTACGAACACCCCACTAGGGCATACTCTATGTTATTTTGAATTGTGATTTAAGTACCTCATGAGAAAATGTTCTTGGCGGAAGTCAAGTGTTTCATAGTACAAAGAGATTTTACAAGGCTTGTAAGGTTGCAAAAAAATTCATTAGATTTGAATAGGTAATTTTGACGGTTTACCTTGTGTAAAATCTAAAGTGCGTGTAGAAGAGAAAACTAACATTCTCAATAATCAATAATCAATAATCAATCATTAAGATGGGGACGACACTTTTATAATCTTGATGGTCATTGGTGTATGTTTAATCTGCCCTTTCAATCTTCTGGGCCCTTGCAGATGGTACTTTCGTCTTTTCTACCACTGTCCATGTCACTATTTGTCAACAGTCTAAATAGGTATTTAACAGGTAAGGGTTAACTAGCTTACTTTAAAGGTTTAGGGACTAATAGATTAATAATAACAGATCAAAAAGCTAGATTGTGTGTGTTATTTCGTTCTAATAGAAGATAGGGTTAAATATCAGCGTCATGTTTTGTGACCCCGTCTATCACCCCCCCCCCCCCCTCTGGTCTCTAATTTTCTCAAGTAAGCCTAGCTGAACTGTGTGTTCCTAGTTTCTAATTAGCAACTTTAACTTTGGGTTTCTTTCAAAATATAGCCTCAAGTTAAGCCTATTTGGATAAATAATTGTTTAACGTCACATAATCCTTGGTACACTATATTATGGAAAATATTTTGCCAAACAGCATCAATGTCGTTAATTATTATGATCCTGTTTCCAGGAACATTTCCGGGATCCCATCCCAGGCACTCCAAGTACTCCAAGGTCCGGAATCATGACAGGGCGGGCAACCACGCCTCACAACCCTTACACACCTAACGTCAACATCAGCAGTGAGTACTAACGTCGACTATGGTTCAATGAATCATAAATGATGAATCTAAAACAGAGTATACCATGACATGACCACATATTTTAACACCTACAGAATTTATTCAATCGTATATTGATGGAGATTGTCACATACTTGAATGTTTACAATAACTATTGTGATTGTTGGTTATTTGAAGGATGATTTGTAATGTTTCAGTGAACTCGGAGGCGTTACACAGGGTCGCTCAAAACATGAACCCACACATGCTGCACAACCTGGCTCAGGTGGCCAGTCAGACTCCGCACTATCCCACCACTCCTGGCGGCTACACCATGCCTACCTACCCCAACACGGTGAGTACTATCATACCACATACTGTCTACTATCCTATCCTACCAACCTACCATATCCAACCATACCGGACTACTAATTACCATCTTACCATTTACATCCTAACAATCTTCTACATGCTCGGAGCGAGCTGTCTAGAGACTAGGATGTGAAGGTGTGGGAAAAACTTACTATCTGCCACGTTACCAGTATACCACCCTACTACCTATGAAGTAACATGCTACCATCTACATTTCACCACCTACTACTTACCATCCTATCGTCACACCACATACCATCTATCAACCACTTAACATTATAACCACCTAACTTTCCATAAATTTTTAGTGAGGAGCAGGCTTACCTGATTGGGAAAGAGTCCAAACTGGCACATGAGACACAACACTTTACTCTAGACACAAAACATTATAATATTTCACTGTCATTGGCAGCATTTTCAACTATTTTCAACTAAGCAATTACATTCTTTCTCAGTTGAAAACAATTAAAACTAAATTTTTCATACCTTGGACACAGACACAATGTAGTGTATTTTCTGTGGGTTCTTCTTCTTCTCCTCATGACAATTGAACCAATATGAGAAACATGAATATAATGATTGGAAATTCATTTATAAAGGATGTACTGAAGTTTTTACACCAAACAATCCTAAATCTCAAGAAGAATAAAATAATAAAATACTGTATGAATGTAGAAATATAATTTGATCGTTTTTGTGTAGCCGTATACCCCTACGGCGCAGACACCGTTTATGACGCCGTACCACGCCACAACCACACCCCGCTATGGGGGACAGACTCCGTCTGCTGCGGCTCCAATATTTGTACACCCTGGAACCATCACACCTGGCGGGGGCCGTACTCCGTCTCAACATACACCTACCCCCACCCCTCCGCAACAGCAGTTTGCTAGATCAGTGTCTGGGTGAGTTGACTTTGGAATTATTTATAAATGTTTATAACTAATGTGTAACCTATTTACTCCTTCTTTCAATTCGGCATCGATCCATTTTTAAAAGACAAGATTTTATTTATTTTGTTATTTTAGCCAACCTTTTTGTTTCTATAATTCTGTTGAAATTAGTGCCATCTGATCAGACGGTTAGTTTAAGTGTTCTAGAATTGCAATTTAAACAAATTATTGTAGATAAGAGTTAATTTGTAATTTTATTTCATCGTGTTATTTTGTTGTGCAGTAGATATGTTTTTCACACAAATATGTCTTTTACAGGAGACTATCGCCTCTTGCGCGTCCTTATTCTCCTAGTTCTCCGTACTCCCCGACCCAGAGCTTCACCAGCTGTTCTCCCCCCTCCTCTTTCCACCCTTCTCTTGTACCCTCCCCTCAACACTCCACCGCTTCCTTCCAACTACCATTGCGTACTTCCAGACTCCTGTCATTACTGGGGTCAGTGGCGTGGTCTTTGAAACAAATCACACTGGTCGTGGACAAAAATACGTAGATTTGAAATTACTGTAATTGTTTATAAAATAAACTAAATTGGTATAATCAAGGCTAAGGATCTAACATTGTGCAAGGGTCTGTTTTTAAGGAGAATATTGCAGGTTTTTTGGAATTGGAATTAATCCAATCTGGCACGAGAAACTCAAAACTTTGCACTGTACATAAAACATAAGAATATTTCCCTGATAGCATTTTCAACGAAAGGATGTGTATGAGGTAGTTGAAAATTCTATCAACAACAACTGAAATATTCCAATGTTTTGTGTATAGTTAAGTTTTGTGTTTCTTTTGCCAGTTTGTATTCATTCACATTCATTTTGCCTGTTAACCTCACAAAAAACCCCTAAAAACCTAGGCCCTTGTGCATGTTACGGGTCAATGTCACATAATGATGAATTTTCAGGAAAGTAAAAAAAATTATTTTTTACTTTTAAAATCGATATACTACTAGCCTATTACAATCAGTATTTACCAAGGAATAATGTATACTAATCAGCAGAGCTGAATTTTACTTACCTTAATTTATAACTCTATTTTTATCTTGAAGGTCACACAAAAAATGCCAGTCGGTCACGCTGATGAATTGGCAAAAATAAAATAGTAAAAATGATATTAAATTAAAAATTTCATCATAAATGTTACTTATACCCTTCAAAATTCAAATAAACGAAACCAAAATATTTAATTTCCTTCAATTTGTGGAAATTTTGACAATTTTAGCTAACCTAAAATGAATTGGCTCTACTTTGCAGACGAAACTTTAGTATGAATGACAAATATTTCAACAGTAAATTGTTGTTTGTACTGAAATATGATTGCCAGTATGGCATGTATCAGAAAACACATAAACATCATAATATAGGATAAGCAGTTAGTGAAATATATTTGTTTTGGTAAGCGTGAACTACTGGCGTTGACCGTGAACTACTGGCGCTGACCGTGAACTACTGGCATTGATGGCATTGAACAACGTATAACTGGAGTAAGTTACTGAAAAACACACAGAGTAATGGATATAATTTTAAGAAATGTAAACCCAAAATGTAATGTTTCAACAATATTTTAATGAAATCTTTTTTTTTATGAAATTACAAACATAGCCTAACATTCTTTGGTCGTTTGTGAAAGATTCATTTTGTTTCGAATTTGATGTTATAATGAAAGAACAACTACCATTGAGAATATTTAACAACTTTTTAACAACTAATCTAAATCTTTTTAAGGTAAAAAAACATTTTTTTTTAGCAAACAGAAGTCCCCTCTCATCAACAAAATGTTGGATAGTCTTCGTCAGTTCCATTATACACATTTGTTGTTACTATCACAAAACCTAATTTTTGGTAGTTTCTTACAGGTAACACATTTAAACTTTGTAATATATAATGAAGGAACAACTACCATTGAGAAAACAAAACTTAACTACTAATCTATAAGGTAAAAATAACATGTTTTAAAGCAAACAAAAGAAGTCCCTTGCCATCAACATAATTTTGGATAGTCTTCGTCAGTTCCATTTTATACATTTGTTACTATCACAAAACGTAATTTAGTAGGGTAGTTTTTTACAGGTAACGCATAACAATAACATAACAGCAACAACATAGCAATAACATAGCAGGTAAACATTGTAGGCCTAATATATATAGAAGGAACATCTACCATTGAGAAAATAAAAACTTAACTAGGCCTACTAATCAATAAGGTAAAAATAACATTTTTTTTAAGCTAACAATAAGTCCCTTGTCTTCAATGTTACTTTGTTGGTGTTCTAAACAACTTTTTTAAATTTATAAAAAACTCTGTCTCCCTTAAGGATCATGGTTGGTGTGGGAACAATTGCTTTTATTTGTGATACCGGCACAGACGGTTGATCTTTGTCGTTAGCAAAAAACAAAGTGTTTTCTTTTTCGCAGTTTTTCAGGAATAAAACTTCCACTTCATTGTTTATTACCCCGCCTTGACAGATCCCAAGGTATTGTTTATTCTCAAACTTCTTCCCTTTCTTGACTGGGTACTCCACAATAACATGAACATCCGAAACCAGTTCGTTTTTAAGTATGGGACCACAGACGTTTCCAGCATACATACTAACAAGGTCTTGAGGGCCTGAAGTCAAATCAGGTGAAGCTTGAGATCGTACATCATCATCCTCATCAGAAGAAGTATAAACATCTTCCACTGACAGTTTAGTTTTAGGAGGGGGGTGGATATCTCCTTGAATTTTGCTAGACACCACGTCAACAACAAGATTAATTTTGCTAAAATGATAGTGGTCACATTTTTCGCTAGCGGGGCAGTCGAAGCAAGACAAGGTGCGGGTGTACATAGGACCACCTTTATACCATGTCACTTGGTGGACCTGCATCACACCTTTAATGGGGGGAACTTTTACATCAGTCAACACGGTTTTCAGTCGTTCTATGTCTGCAACAGGAATTTCAAACATGAGAATATTAAAGTCTTTTAGAGCTATCAAAAATTCTGCAGCACATGTTATGTCATTGCCACAAAGCACTTTTTGGTCTGCACCTCTTTTAAGGGTCCCGCCCACTCCATCCATGGGACCCTTGCCGTGTCCGGCCTCACTGAAATTCCATGTAAGAACTTTTAATTTGGGGAAAAACTCAGGCATCATGTTATTCATTAAATACATATTGTTCCTGTTTCGGTATTGGCTCGACGGGCTGTCCGAAAATATGTGGACAGTGTGTGTGTTTGGGAATTCATTGGCCGATCTTTCCAATACTGGTCTCATGTGAGCCCATACTGCGTGGGCCTGGTGGTCCAGATTGTCTGAAGCTGTAGCAAAACAAAGTGGATCAACCTTGCTGTTGTCAACTGATGCATATCGGACGCCAGTATGAAGAGATATCTGTTTTTTGGAAGCTCCAAAATGTACAGATTGTACCTCAGACGCAAACTTTGCCACATAATTTTCGGAAAAATCAATCCTAAATACGAGTGTTCCGGTTTTAATGGAGTCAATAACTGTTCTTAGTGTTGAGGATTGGTGTTTATCATAATAAGTATGTTTTTTAAAAGCGTCAAGTTCCTTTTTCAGGTAAGATTTCATTTGTGTAATTCTCTTTCTCTCTGTAGATTTTATTGTTTTTTTGATTAATCTTACTTTGTCTTTTATTTTTCTCTTTTCTTCAACAGTTACCCATTTAAAAAATTTGACCGTGAAGTCGTCATGGGATTTTAGCTCAATTGTTTTGTTTTTACAATCTTTGCACTGTCCCAACATGCACCTTTCATTTTCTGTTGAGCACACGACAGATTTAATTAATTCATTGGGATTGCGTTCTTGAATAACATTTGTGTTCTTCAAAGCACTCACTAATAACTGCATGTTGGAGTGCTTAATACATGCACAGGTCTCTCTATCCGACATTTTCGGAAACGTGACCCAAAAGGGCCGTGCTCGGAAAAACGTAGAGCGTGATATTTTTGAATCAGTATTTTCTGCTAAAAACTTCTTGTGCAGATTTTCAATTGTGTCTAGCAGCACTCTACGTTGTTTTTTTGTGTTACCCTTCTTGACGAAATCCTTCTTGCCAGGACACATCCTACTCACTCTGTCATCCTCAAAAAACTTGACTAGCTCGGCAGATAGTTTGTGTTGGATACATTTTCTCTTGTTTCTAGAGTAGTCAAAAGAGGCCTCATTCGAAGCAAGATTCTTTTTGGTAGGAATCAAGTTCTTGAAATATTTCTGAACTCTGTACTTTTGAAAAACGTCTTTTCCAACAACTTTACGTATGATTTGTTTATTTTTCTTGGTTTTGGACACTTTTTTTAACTGTGTTTCAAGTTGTTTTTTTAACGTCAGTCCTAGAAATAATTGTTTCTTTATGTTAGGAGATATTTTTTCTTTTCCTACTATTTCTTTAACCTGTCTTCTCGGGGATGGGGTAGACATGACTTTTACCTTTTTCTTCTCTCTATGTAATCTCTTCTTATACTTCTCAATTTTTTTCTCCAATTCATGTATGCGCTCATTCTGTTTTTTTACGGTTCGATATACTTTGGCTTTATCTTTTCTAACTTGTTTTCTGCCCCTTTTCCTCTGTGCAGATTCATTTTCAACTCTGGTCTCAGGAGAATTTGGTGGAGTATCCTCAAGCATATTTTCTAGAGATTGTTTCTTTATTTTTTGTACACGGTGCCTTTCTCTCCAATACTTTCGCATCTTTCGTTGTTCTCTAGGAGTCATGTCACCTATTCTCTTCACCTTTTTCTCTTCTCTTAATTTGGCCATCCTTTCCCTATCGTATTTTTTCTTGGCTTCTTTCTGCTCATCTGTCATCCTCTCCAACTGTCTCTTTTTGCGGTTTCTGGCCAGCTCCTTTTGCCGTTCATATTTCTGTTTTTCCGAAAGATTCTTTTGCCGAACCATCTTCAAAGGAACTAACTGGAAAAAAAATCCTTATTTACCCTTAAATTATATTAATTAAGATGGGTTTTAATAAACACATACTCACAAGAACTAAAACAATAAAAAAGCACGATTACTTGATATATAAACGGTAAAATCAAAGCCAATACGTTGGAATTGCTACCAGGCGGCATATATTTATTAATACAAAGTTAGAGTAAAATCACCAAAATAATTAATTTACCATGAAAATTAAAGAATACAACATAAATTAGCAATAAAATATTATACCCTAAACCTTATAGTTGTAAAAGAGCAACGACATTTAAAGTACAGCCAGTATTGCGCCAATCGTTCACGATATTCAACATCGTTCACGTGAACGACTGGAGCGTGAACGACTGGCAAATCTGATCTAAAATCTAGTCTATGAAAAGCTACATTTACTGCGTTGGCATCCAATTTGAGGTTAGGTTCTAGGCCTAGAAACATTGTCAGAATATGCAATCCTTTTTATTGTAAGTTGCAAAGTTTGTGAGTTATTAAAGTGAACGACTTGAATCTTAATTAAGGTACTGCTGCATTTCTTACCTGTTTATCAGTTCATTTCCAAAAATCTTCTTAAAATTCACAAAATTGTTCAGATGTGGCTACTGCGCAAACTCATCACAAGCACTAAAATGTGTTTTGCCGCCAAATTACGCATCGCCCCGTTTCGTCTAGAACCCATTTCGTCGAAACGTCTTTGACATGCTGTACCTTGGGGACTGCCTTTAGACAATTAAAAAAAAAGGTCCCCATAGTATTTAGCATTTTATTACTGCTTGTTATTGAGAGCAGACGATCTCCCGATGTTTATAGTTCCATTATATTGCAAAATTGTGAGGTTATGAAGTATTTATTTTTTGAGTGAACATTACGGCATTAGGCTGGGGACAGTGAACGACTGGCAAATTATGATAAACAGTCCTGCTTTTCTTGTTGAATAAATTATTATTAGGATCTAAAACTATGTTTGCTGGAAAGGTAAGGGGTTGGATAATAATAACAACACATTATTACTTAAAATAGTATTTTTATTTTGCATTTGTGCCCAGAGGACTTCAAAATCACCCATTATGTGACATTGACCCTTACATCCAAATCGATGCAATTGTTTGCCACATTTAGAGCAATGATGAATTGGTTGTAATTGATAATTGACTAAAATTGTTTACGAAATGTTAATAAGTACCGTAATCAATCATATAGTCTATGTCTAACTGCATTATGATCATCAAATTAAATTTGCATAGAGCTAGTGAGTTGGTGGCTCAGTCGGTAGCGCCACGGACTTCGGGCCCAAGGCAGCAATGTACAAGGATCGGATCCTGTCCCTGCCACTACTTTTTATCAGTAGGCCTAAAGTTCTCTTGTATTGTACCGAGTACCGGCTCACCCCTTGCTTTGCTGGATACGTTCCACGCACAGGCTTCTGTGGCCCATGTAGACAAGTAAATGCAACATAAAAGAGGTCGCAATACTTTTCTTAAAAAAACCACCATTATGTCAACAAAAGATATATAACAATGACAAACGTAGGCCTACTAAAACAACAACAATGTACTAATAAACAGTTGCAAGCAATTGTGTCTGAATTACCCAGTAAAAGTTTTTGTAACAAAATGTGTTTGAACAGCTGATTAAGTTGGTTGTTTCACAGGACCAACATGCCGACGGATCCCATGGACTGGCGCAAGGCGGCTGAAGAGTGGGCCAAACTGAAGAACAGAGAAAACACCAACACGACACCTCGGCAAGGGTGAGTCGATAGTAGACAAGCAATAAACAAAGTGATTCTTGTTGAGTAGAAGTATTAAGCGGTCTTAGAACCACAACTTTATAAAAATAAATGGTGAAGGTTTTGTATTTTTCCAAACTTAAATGGGTTTATTACTTCAATTATCTGGCATCAGACCAAAGGTTTCAAAAATATGTTAATGCTGTATCCACACGTAACATTGTCAGCAATGTTGAAGGAAATTAGCGGAGTTGGGAGCAAACGGCAGACATCAGTTGCTCTCAGTGCAGATATCAGCACTGGTTCTACTTTAGGGAATAGCCTAACACATATAGAATTTGAAAACTTTGAAAATAATGAGTAAATAACATCCACTAAAACTACAAGTAGTTTTAAATATTGTTGTTAAAAGAGTATTTGTCAAGAACAGTGATTGTTTGTTTGCAGAAGTTCGACTCCAAGCAGGTATGAAGATCGCAGGATGACTCCGAGGAATAACTTGCGTTCCCCTCGGCAGCCCCAGTACAAGCCTTCCCCCCGCCAAGGTATGTTGTACTAAAAACTGCATTTTAATCTGATCAATTCTCAATTCTTTCAGCGATGCACACATAGGTGCATATTGTAATCTTAATTTGAATCCTTAGTGAGTGTAGAATGGAGTGAAATCACCTGTGTAGCTTTGAACTGTTAAATTTAAAACCCCAATCAAAGACAGCTTGGCCCATTTTTGAACCATCAACAAGCTACACTTCTCTCACTATTAAACCGGCAAGTTTTTGATTACCATACGAGCATTTTAACCACCCAGCTAAGAATATTGCTAACGTAAACTTTTTTCACAGGTTACGAACAATCTCCTCGTAACTTTGACAGTTTGAAGTCGCCCCGTCTGCCGCCTGGGACAGGACCGTATGACCCGTATGGGTTGGGGTCCACCAAGTCCCCCCGCTACGTTCCCTCGCCACGGTCTGGGCGGTCTACCCCTCGTACCATCAACAGCCCGAGGTCCATGATAGAGAGCAGCCTGGGAGACGCAACGCCGCTCTACGACGAGAACGAGAACTGAAACTGAACAGACTGAGAATGTTAGGTAAGACGGGTAAGCGACTATGAAGAGTAACTTTATGTGGAACTGTACAAAAACTTTTTTGGATAATCAATGGTTGGAATTTTAAGGCTATTTCTGTTTAACTGTTACGCTCCTGGTCCCCAAAGGTGATTGTTATTAGATGTTGTATTTGAAATATAATCCAATTTTAATTAAATTTGGTACCAATGTTTATTTAAACAAGTTCGCAAACCATTAAGATTGTACTAGAACCTAGTTCTATCATATTTACAGTGTTTTGCAGATACAGGGTGTCTACCGGTCACTGAAGTTACGGAAGTCACTGAAAAGTAACTGATTTTCATTTTAAGATCCCATAAGTTACAGAAAAAATCGGGCCGAACTAAAATAAAGTTTTCCAAACTTGTCTTTTGTTAAATTCATAGTGCAGAATCAGAGAGCGAACATATTTTGTGAGTAGGCAACAAGTTCATAATTGCTACTGTACAAAATATTCTATGCCCAACTATCTCATGTTTAAGTCCCTAAAAAGTATCTTTATCTTATTGATACCAGAGATTGTCCCCTTTAAAGTTGTATCCCCCTAAAGTCACTGAAATTTATTTGCATCAATTAGTAGACACCCTATTATTTGATTATTTCTTTTTAAATACAATAATTGTAATTCTATCAATGCATATATTAGAATAATATTTGCTGTATAAAGAATTTAATTATTTATATATTTTCAGGTTGTTTCACTGCTAGTTCATCTAAGGTCAAAGTATCGACCGTTTTTATCTTCTTCCTTCCCTACAAATTTTATACTATTTTGTGATTTGCATAGTTTTATCACTAATTTATGATTGTACATGGTTGATAAAATATAGAGATAGTTGTGGTCATTTGAAATCTCATTCAAAATCATATTAATCTTGAATAGCATTTTTACTATATTTTGTAAACATTTTCGTAGTGGTGACAGATGTTTATTGTGTATGTTATTTTTGAATTTGATCGTTAAAGAAACTGCTTCAAAATTATTTTACAGTGATCTGTAAATATTTAATAAAGGTATTATTTATATACTGAATGTGTTTGTTTATTTGTTCCAGTAGGTGCATTTCTGTTAGTTGTTACAAACAGTTTAAATAACCTAGGGAGCAGGGTTGCCACTTGTCCCGATTCTGTGAGACAGTCCTGACTTTGGTCTTTGGTCCCTTTTGCCTGTGTTAATCTGGGGGTAGGGGGGCTGGCTAGATTATTGATTTTTCTTTAATCAAACATGGCAACCCTGCTATGTATGATAAGTCTTCCAGATAGATTGAGTTTTACCATTGGTTTTGTATACTTTTACTGTCAATAAGATTACTTTAGATTAAACATACTCTCTAAGGATTAGGTTGTGTTAGAAAGTGCTTATTGCCTGACAGTTAAGGAGACAAAGCACAGGATAAGCAAGCTTACCTTGAAGATTATAGGCTTCCCTATATTTTTTAAGGTAATCATACTTATCCTGTCTTTTGTCTCTAATAGATTAGTCATCCTTATGCGTACGAAGATCTTTATATGGTATGAATCTGTGTACTTAATTGTCCATCCTCTGGTATGTTTCAAGTGCAGGTTTGAAATTATTAGTTATTAATATAAATTTTGCCAAATATATTTATTTCTTATGAGCTTTTGAGTAAAATATCGGACAATCAATCAAACCCTTGACTGTATCTAAGGTTGTAAAAGTAAATTACATGATTATTTTTTTTACATATTTGGAACAAGTTTCATGTTGTGGCATGAAAATGTGCATTATTTGTATTGTGTCACATGCCTTCAGGACTTTCCTCTGGTAAGTGTACTCTGTTTAACAACTTATTCTTCAATAAAATTCTCGAGTGTGTTCTAATAAATAGATACAATCTCATTGCAATAATGACTATGTTTTAATTTCAGGCTTAACATGTTGACAGTCACTAGAAGGAAGAATAAGAGAGGGAGAGCTATGAAAAATGAAAGTTTGAAATTTAATGGCCAAGGAAGAAAACATTGGGAAAAAAGAAAATACACATTGTTTCTTGAAAAATACATTAATATTGCTACTATACCATACTATAAACCTATGGGGAAAAGAGAAAACTCAACCGACAAGCATAAAACCAAAAACAGGTATTAGTCAGAGAAGGAAAATTAAAATGACTGAAAAACATTGAACATCAATCCCATCATGGAAGAGATTAAGTATAGATTAACTGCAAAAATTAAAAAAAGTATTGTTGCCAAAGAAATGTCATTTGCTTAAACTAACTAATACCAGCAATTGGGTGAAAGCTCAGTAAAGGTAAAGACCTGAAACTAAGGAGGTACGTAAATTTACATACGTCCATCATTTCTGGGAAAAATTATAAGCTGATTTAAGGGAATAGAAGAGAAATTTTAACTAAAAGAAACATACAATTTGAGCTATAGTATAAGACTGATGTAAATGCATACCCAAACAAAACAAAACAACACATGTTGAATGTTAAAAGATATTGCATTGTCAGTTTTTGTCGACACTTAATTATTCATGTCATGAAACTTATGTTAAAAAATATTTTGTTCAATAAAAGTTACACAGTGATCGTGAAATGATTGTTAGATAAATGGTTTCAACATAATTGTTTTATATTAGATTACACTTTTTGTTAATAATGTTTCATTTGTACACTTTTTACAAAGAAGTGTCTTTCCCTGGTTCACACAAATCCTTTAAATATCCTCTAGACTAATTTATATGTTTTATATTAATTCTGAGGCTGAAATTTGTATTTAAAATTCTCTTTGGGACCATACCATCAGAAATCCTAAGTTAACACAAACAGACCTCCATTTCCCCATATGTTGATGAGTAATTCCTTTGTATGTTTACTCATGAAGTAGGTTCTACCACAAGTTGTCCACTAGAGATATGTGTCTCTTCCCCCCCCCCCTCCCTCTTTAAACCTCCCCTCTGTTCAACCTCTGTACTGCTGGGTCCCATGGGTGCCTCCACTGACATGTGGATGCTTAGGTAATTGAACAATGTGTGCTAAATCAGTGTTTACTAAGAACCTATTAGAATTAACTATTGGGGACTGAAGTTGCCATCCCATCTATATGGACCAACTGTGACCAAATTTGTTAAAAAGATAACATAGTTGTTAAAAAAGTCATGAATGCCACAGAAAAAAAGCTCTAGGGAGTAAAAAGAATTTTAGCCCCTAGGGAGTAATAATCAGCTGTTGTCAACTCAGTTGTATATTTATTTGGATTGTTAATTGCATGTATCAAATGAAACTGAAAACAGTATTTTTTTTTTTGTATAAAATCTTGGCAGTATTTTTGAGGTTATCTTTGAAAACTATTTCGGTTTTGCAACATGGTTTGTTGAAATAATGGTGCAAAACGACGAAAAATTAGTTCATCACACGGGCAAGTTTCTTCAACCCTCTCTCATTTTCCGACCTCGGCTTCACATTGATCGTAAAAACTTGATCTCGGGTCGAAAAGGCCCTAGTGATGAAATATACTATTTTCTTAATTCTTATTTTTTTTGTTGCTGACCCAAGTTGATGAGTCGTTAAAGTTGCTATAGCTCACAAATAAGCCATTCCATTAGTTTTCTTTTGGAAAACTAGTGTTTGCGCATGACAGAAATTATTTATATAAATCAAGTTTTTTTTACAAATTAACTCGATTTGGATTTTTTTTAACTGGTGACAACTTTAACATGCAGATGAGATGTCAATAGTCAATTTAGTTATGAATACAACATAATTTCTTATGACTATTGATGATATCCTTTCACCTTTTTTAAAGTACCTTTACTCTATAAAGTCCCAAGTTGATTCTTTATCTATTAATGAAGCCATAAAGTAAGCAAAACCATCGCAAAGGTAGTATTGCTTCTTTATGCATTGGAGGAACAAAGGAATTAATTAATTCCAGCAAGAAGCTGTTAAAAGTGTGATAAAAACTTAATCAACAACCAAGTGAAGTGGGAAGCACAGAATTGTATCGTTAAGCCAGATGCGGTTTTGAACTTGTTAATAGGCAGTAAACTGGCTTAATTATGAATACTTTAACTGCTATTTTCTTGCTCACTTTTATGAAACTCTTCTCAAAAGTTTTGCAAAGTTCTTAGGTTTATAGCCGTATGAAAAAATGGCAAATAAAATGCAAATAGGTCAAATTAATTTTTTAGCGGATTTCCCTAAAGAGAAGTACTTATTACCGTAAGTGGCGCGGTAAGACCTAGACCCGGGTTCACTTTAATTTTTTATTTTGATTTCCCAAGAGGGTATTTTTATAACTTGAGTAAGATGTACAAATTACTCACACAATATAATACATATATAAATACATTCGTATATATACATTTTTATATAAGATTGCATGTTAAAATCATGTTATCTAATTACGGAATCAATCTGTACACAAGTCCCTCAAATAACGTAAAAATCTTTTTGCTTCCTTTCAAGCTGCTTGCTTTGGTTTGTCGAGGAACTAACTCAAATAGCTTGTCGAATATATCTGGTCTTGATGTGGTGCTTACAAATATCAAACTTCTAATAATCTCTCTACATGGTACAGTAGCATCTTCGTCATCTAGATTTACTTGAAATCCTTTTAGTCATAGGTGTTAATGTTTCATTGGCCTCTTTCATGTCGGATTTCTCCAGTATTTTCTCAATTTGCCTTTTTTGAGTCATTTTCAAGTAAATAGTTTGTTTATTACTCTTCTTAGACCAGAAATAAGTTGTTTGGATTAATTATCCTATTTCCGCCCAATAAAATGGCATCTATTTCAAGCATACACGCTGTGGGTTTTAACTTTTCCACTTAAACTTAAATCATATCAAAACAATTGTTATAAGACAATCTCATTAGAGATAACTCACGAAAATAAAGCAATTTGTATCTAGAGTGTTTTCATCGCAGTTGATCACTACTCAAATAGAGTGAGTTTGGATCCAGTTTTTGTTAAAAAGACGTCGAAACTCCAATCCATCACTAGTCAGTTGACGGAGATGAATTCGGCGATCAAGAGAGCGAGGGAAGTTAAAACACTTTCTCTTCTGTAAAAATCCTTTGCTGTCAGTTTTTAACTTCGTTTTACTTAAGATACACTACCACTAAACTCAATTGCAATATTAATTAAATTGCAGCCAATATATGTTAGTAAAAATATTGTTTTTTACGTAACGCAGAAACCCTTATAAAAATACCCTATAAAAACCCCCTATAAATAGGCCAACGCCTATACGTGAAAAAAAAAAAACACTAATATGGAAAAAAGGTGAATTTGAGGAGGACCCTACCATGGGCATATGTATGAATAACATTATAAATCTTCACCATTTTATTTATAAGATAACTTCGTACTTTTGATGTATAAGGTAACATAAAAATTTAACCTTTGATTTACAAGGTAACTTACGACTTTATATTACATTTATAGGGTTGCGTACACATTTTAATTTGATTTATAAGCTGACTAGATCATTCCACTTTATTTATAAGGTAATTGACTGTGTTCCCACAAAACTTGTAAACATATAACCTCAGATTGCGATACAACGGTCACCCTCTACTGGTTGTCATCCCTCTGTACCAACATTTACATACATTTACATAAGCCCCAAGTTCCATTCCATCACTACCTTAACTGGGGAACTCATCTAATCGTTCGGAAAAGTTAAATATTCAATGTTGCGGTCGGACGAATTGAGTTTTCAATATTTGCAGCATCTGTCTTTTCAAATCCGAAGGAAATCGTTGCAGTTGGAAAAAAACAATCTGACTTGAAATTAAGTTTCTTACTTACTTACTCCTGTGGCCATTGGAAACCTAGGTGGTTTTTGGCCTCGCCAACCATGTGCCTCCAAGCTCTTCTATCCTCTGCCAGCTCCAAGTCTTCTCCCATTCCTTTCAAGTCCTTCGTCACCTCATCAACCCATCGCATTCTTGGTCTACCTAATGGTCTCCTTCCTTCTGGTATACCTCTGAGTACCATCTTTACCATCTCTCTCTCACTTCTACGGTTAATATGGCCCATCCATCTCAACCTCCTACTCT